CATCAACAGATCCAATCTGCATGGTGAAGTGACTCACCAATTCTTCAGCCATAGCTTCAAAAGTTTCTAGTTTATTACCCCTCTCATCAACCAGAACTCTAATTGTGTTCCTTTTCCTTTTAACATCAACTTGAGCATGGAAGAACTTAGTGCATTGATCCCCATCTAACAGCTAATCCACCTTAGCTTTCTGCTAATAGAATAATATTTCAGCCTTCTCTAATTCAACAAGCTCTTGATGCAGTTTTTTCTCCTCAGCCACATCATCTAGGCTCCCTCCATTTAGAACCACTACCTGATGTTTCTCCAAATGCTCCCTCTTTTCAGTAACTTTCTCAGAGATATTAGAATAACATTTTTTGTTGAAAGCTTTCAACACAGGTTTCAGCCTCTTTATTTTGTAGAATAAAGCTTGCATAGGGTCCCCCTACACAGCCTCAGTCCAAGACTGCCCAACAACCACCTTAAAGTCTGGATGCAGGGCCCAGAAATTAAAGTATTTAAATGGTTTTGGCCTTGAAGCAAGGCTTTCATGGAGATACCAAGTAACAACCAAACAATGGTCAAACACACATGGTACTTGGAACTCTACATGAGAGTTTGGGAATGCCTCACACCATTTATCATTAACAAGCACTCTATCTAACTTCCTAGCGAGGAAGCCCTCTTCATGTTTATTAGACCAGGTGAAAATAAGTCCAAAAAATGGATGATCCTCAAGCCCCAAATTAGCCATACAATTTCTTAAATCCTCAATTTCAGAAGTAAGGTGCCCATCTACATAATTTGAACTCTCCTCATCTTTAGCAATTACATTAAAATCCCCCCAGCAATCCATACATTGTTTCCAACCAAAGAACTAACTTCAGCTGCCATACACAACAGAAATAACCACATTTCTACCACCCAAGTAGCCCTGGACAGTAACAGATTGATCAACCACTTTTAGAACAGAGAAGTGCAAACTTTTCCTCCATAGGATCCAAGCAACTGTAGTTCCAACATTAGTTCCAATCCTTATCAAACCGTGCTACCATATCCAAAGCCCTATTTTCCTTAATTCTAGTTTTAAGCAAGCAAAGAACCTCAACTTGCAACTTCTTAACACGCATCATAACACTCTTTTTGTTTTTTGGGGTGATTAAAACCCCTGACATTCCAAAAAACTACATCCATGATGCAGGAAAAGAATTGGTACCTCCTACTTGCTCACCAAGCTTCTTTGCCTTTTCAAGATGGTCTTTCTTCTTGCTTTTCATTTCCAGCAGAATGTTGGCAACACCCTAAGATGCAAGTCTTGGCTTCCTACCCTCAGTCTCCTCTACCAAGGATCCCAAGACTTCAAACTTATTAGAGGAGCTAGCAACAAAAACTCTTACATTTTCACATTTTTTCCCTTTACCTCTTCGATGAGATGCAGGGTCTAAAGGTAAAGAAGCATCACCCTTAGATGACACCCTCACCACATTGCCAGTAACCTTATCTTCTTCAATAACCTTCAATTTTTCCCCAGAAGCAAACTGATCCTTGAAAGATATCACAACAGTATCCGTATCACCCACTGGATCTGTTCCAAGAACATCTTTAACAACAATAGAACATAGCCCACCATTCTCCTTTTCCATAGAAGACTTCAATTCAACTGCATCCAATGGTCTTTCTAAATTAAGTTCCACTGAATTTCCCACTTCATTCTCAAGTATTTCAAATGACTTATCTTTAACTCTCCATTCTTCTTTCTTTTCAATACCACCAACAGTGCAAGTTTTATCCGAGTGACCAAAAATCTTACACTTGGACCAACATTAAGAAAACTAGGGAATCACCACTTTCACAGTGCAGATTGTCCCATATCGCATCTTAATTGCAATAGAACGAGGCAACCGAAGTCCAGCTTCAACTTCAACACATACCTTTGCAAACTCTAACCGCTCCTTGGAAGCTGTAATCGAGTCCATATACAGTGGGACACCTAGGGCACTAGCAACATAACTAAGCCTTTTTTTGGAGAAAAGCTCAAGAGGGATATTAAACAACTGAACCCACACTGGCATCCTTTCCAAATTGAAATCAAGGTGCTTCAGATTGAGTTCCCATTTCCTTAGCACCAGCGGTTTGTGCTGGATTTGCCAGGGTCCATTCTCAAGGACCCAGTCTTAGCTAGCACCATTAGCAAACGAGAAAACGTAAAGATTGGAGCCAACAATTCTAACCTTTACAATCGATTTCCCCCCACATAATTTCTACCAGCTTTTGCAAGGAACCAAAATTGGGAGCAGACCCAATAAATTGCCCTACCAGAGAAAACTGCCACTCCGAGACCCCTTCCTCAAAGATAACACTTGGAGGAACCACCGTCGTAAAACCATCATTACTCTGAAGGAAAAAAATCCAGTGATTGCTCCTCAACGCCAGAGAACAAGCTTCGCCAATCCATAACCCTTAACTGGATTCCATTTCAAGTGAATCAAGCAAACAAAATAGTTAAGAACCAGGGGAAGAACCCTAAAATCCAAGAACAATAGACCTGCTATCGCGAGAGGAAAACGGTTATTTCCCTGGCGGTTTTTTCTTTTCACCAGGACTCGATTTAAGCATATTTAATTGTTTATGATATGCAAATATTGTGCTTGATATAAGTTATTTTTTTTATAATTGTTTGGTTAACTACTAACACATAATAGAAATGTGATGATATTATGCTTGAAATTTTAAAATTAAAATAATAATGCAATTGTCATAAATTAAAGAATAAAAATTGATTTTTTTTTATATTTATTCTATTTAAATGTTTTTAAACTAAATCTTGCATGAACCAAGGGACCACAATGGTAAAAGAAATAATTGTTATCCTTGAAGTCATGGGTTCGAACACGACATTTACAAATATATATGAGTGTTCATTGCTAAATGATTAAAAATATTTCAAACAAATATTACCTTATATTATTCAAAAAAAAATTAGACCTCATCCGTTACCAGGTTTTCCCTTTGTCACATAATTTGTTGTCTTGTTTTCTTGCTTTGATTCAATCATGAATTAAAAGTAAATTGATTCAATGAACCCCCAACATACAACAGTAGGAAGGCGACCAACTTTTTGGTTGTTTAAGCTGAAGAAATGGAAATCTGAAAAGGAGATGATGGAGAAATTCCCCAACCCTGGAAATGTAAAATTGAAACAAACAATGTGTTGGGTGACAAAATTTCACGTGGGATGCTTCTGTCTCTTTATATCAACCACAAATGCCAATGGATTCACTATCTGGAGATGACCTTTACTGTATACTTGGCAACCATTGATTTGGTCTTCACTCTTGACCTATATTCATGGTATCAAACTAATTGCTTCAATTGGATTCGTAAGTTGAACTAAATCTCGATTTATCAAACCAATCAAATCCAACCATTCATTAATGCAAGCGTCAATCGTGGTAAGATGTTGATCTAGAAAGCTTAGGAACGCCCATTTGCAGCATGTTAAAGGATACCAGCAAAGACGAAGATCGAACAAGAAAGTATAAATATTAAAATTTTAAGTGAAAATTTCTTTCGAAAAAATATCACAGATAAAAGAAGAAAATCTTCACCGATGTCAATAAAAGGAAACTTCACGAACAACTTAATATCTAACCATAATTTATAAGGATAATTGCTTAACTATAAATAAAACTTGCATAGCAAGAGATCTACTCAAACTATGTTTCCTACTCTCAATCAACATAACATAAAATAGATTTATTACTTTCAATCAAACTGATCTTTTTATTTTTTTTCCAATTAATTTGAGTTAAATAAAATTGTAACAATCTCCACGTTGACTTGACACAGATTCTGAAAGTATAAAAAGTCCAAGACAAAATCCAAATTCAATGAAAAACTCAAACAAATAAAAAATAATTCTTCACAACGACGAATAAAATTTTGACCTTAAGAATATATTTTCCATTCCCCCCATAAAATCCTTTTAAGATGTATTCTTCAACAGTGATTGTCAATCAAATCAAGCTTTGCCTGAGCTTAAATGTATGAAGTAACTTAATCTTCACATCGATAAAATAATCATAAGTGTCAATTTTACTCACAATTGAATCACCACGAGCAATATCATATACAACATGATCTCAATTATCAATGGTAATTCTATCTTTTTCGTTATTTGTCCATATAATAAATTAGACTCTTTTTTAGGGTTTGTTATGCAGAGGTGAGCTTTATAGCGATGACAATGAATGGGGATACATTAAGTTTTCGATATAAATATAGAGTTTATTTTAAGTTACATGTGTTACTATATATTTGTAATATTTGTGATGTTTATATTTATAGTGTATTATTATTCTTTTTATACATAGAGATAAACAAATCAAAATCACGTTAAATTTTATTTTTTTATGTGTGATCTTTTATATATTGATCTCGTTCTCGCTTGTAACTTCCTAATACAACAGACGTTAGAGGCCCCATTTCTTGAATTGACATAAAATAACCAACCAATATAGACTAGGGAATCAGCATAACGTCACCTTAAAGTTGATAAGTAATTTCGACCGACCCATATTTTCTCCAATCATAATTTCAATAGTGAAAATATTACACACCCCATGTAGGTTAAAGCCCAAACACACTACTTACAGCCGTCAATTTTTTCTACTGATTGTTACATCCATAGCATCCACCAATTATCAGAAATGGGTTTGATTTTTACTGGTTAGAACTTGGGCCTCCCCAAAGTTTAAAAAATTAAATGAAGGTTGGCTCATCTTCCATTTTAAAATTGCATCTCCTTACATTCATGATCTGCATTGTTTTGGATTTAAGAAGTATTTAATTAATTCTAGTAATAAGATATCTCTAGTTAAATTACTTAGCACACTAATGACAAATTTAAGACAGAATCCTGAAAAGTATTCATTAAACCAGAACAATAAAAAAGAACGTAGCTCACACGTTCTAAACAAAAAAGGGCGGCAGAAAGTAAAAAATGATTCACTTAGAAGTCAACCCAACGTCGAAAGGCAAGACTGCATCGAACAAGCCACGCAAAATTCTAACAAACCGTCTACGTATTTGTTGCCCTTGTGTAAATCTGCTGGCTTGAATGGGCAGACACCAGCCTAATCAGTCCTTTCGCCATCAATTCCCTAATAGCCTTCCTCGCAAGCGACCCATTAATCTGAAAGGTGCATACAATACCATGAGACATCATTGAAACAAAGCTTTTGTTTAATAGAAGTTCAGACAAGCACCCACATGCAGACCGATATACAAGAACATTACCATGACAGAAGACCAATTACAGCCATAACCTACAAAGATTAGAACACAATAGCATATGAAAAGATGCATTTCAAATTGCCATTTGGTGCTTTTAGCAGCGGTACCATTCTATTTCTGCTAGCTAGTACAAGTCAATTGATAACCAAACATGGGGATAAATCAATGGAGCAAAATCCCATCTAAATCCAAGTTTCGAAATACAGCACCCAAATTCAGTCTATTCATGCAACAGTCAGTAACTAAAGCATAATTACAAGATCTATTCATGCCAACAATCTGAAAGGTGCATACAATACCATGTCAGACATTATCAAAACAAAGCTTTCATTTAATAGGAGTTCGGACAAGGACCCAAATGCAGACATTATATATAAGAACCGTACCATGAGGGAAGACCAACTACTGTCACAGCCTACAAATATTAATCGAAACACAATAGCCTATGAAAAGATGTATTTGAGAATGCCATTTGACACTTTTAGCTGCGATACCATTCTATTTATGCTAGCTAGCACAAGCCATTCAATAACCAAACATGGATATAAATCAATAGAATAAAATTCCGTCATCTAAATCCATGTTTCGAAGTACAGCACCCTAATTCAGTCTATTCATGCAACAATCAGTAAGTAAAGCATAATTATAAGATAATGGGCAGTGAATGGTTCCAAATACATATAAAAGAGAGAACAACCATCAAACTAGAATACAACAGTATCGCAAATAAAAGAGAACCCATTTAAATAATCAACATACAGAAGGGGGGAAATATTTTTTTTTTAAAAAAAGCTAAAGAAATGAAAAGTACCCTCAAACGATCAGAGAGGATAGAGGGAGTGATGAGCTTGTATTTAGGAGCTTCAGAGAGAAGCTTGTCATAGGTAGCCTGGTCAAACAACACCATGTTATTCACCTTCTCCTTTTGCTTTCCCTTGCTCCACTTCTGCAAATACAAAAAAGACCCCAAGTTTGATGAAATCATAAACAGAAAAAAATCAACCCCATTGAATGAATAAAAGAATCATATAATTAAAAAAATGACCTTCTTCTTCTGTTTGCCACCTCCGGACTTAGCTGGCTTGGAGGAAGGAGGAGGGGCTTTGTCTTTCTTAGGAGCCTAGCAAAAAGCAAGCCAAAATAAACCAAAAACTGAGTTAGTAATCTAAAAACAAACCATAAAAAAGAATGGTAAATCCGATGTCTTCAACAATGGAGGAAGGAGATGAACATACCATGGAATTACAAAAATATGAGCTTTAGGTGGAAAGTGAGCTTTGTGTAACCCTAGGGTTGGTCGCCGCTGCCTGAGCTGAGAGACAAGGAAGAAAGTCTATTTTATTTATTCAAAGAGTGTAAACTTGACCTAGGTATCTGAAGTGTCGACCTCGGCCCAATGTCTCGCTAACCATTGAGAAGCTGAAGATTAAGGCCCAAACCTACTAAAGGTCAAATCCACGTCTTACCGCAGCAATCCCTTGCAAACTACAAGCCACGACACTATAGATGTCAATTTTTTTTTGGGGTAATCCATAATTATATTCAATTTATTTGTCGACTAATTTAGATTGAATATTGTAGAAGTTTATTATGAAAGTGATATTCTTAACTTAATTTGTTCAATTTACAATATTAAAATTTGAACTTTTAATCTTACTTAAAAGTTATAGTCTCTTATCCTACTATATCAACTGATTGTTAATTAAATTTTAATTTTTTAACCATAATTTTATTTGTGTATTTTTGTGATGGTAGAATAACAATATCTAATGGAGCATTTTTCCTATATAAACTTTTGATAGGAGGAAAGAGTTATAGATATCGATATTTGAAAGACGATGAATATCAGAATTTAAAAATGAATTATAATAGAATTTATTAAACGGCCTCAGAAGGGAATATTATTCTCCATGGAGGTTTCGACTCGAATAAGTACGTCTGCAAAGAATGTATGTTATCGATAATTAAAAAAGATATTATTTTATAATCGCTCCATATTATTTAAAAAAATGGGCTAAAATTCATTATTAATGTTCTATAAAACTCACTTTGATCTTTATTAATTTCTTAAAGGATTTTAGTCCTCAATGTTTTAGTTTTAATCAAAATAATACTTTTACATGAGAACTTATATATACGTGATAAGACCTAAATCAAATATATTAAAGTTAACAAAATTTCATTGTTACCGTCGAACTATTCACCAAGAAAACATTTCATGCTTATATTGCGCCTATTACTAAGCTATCATTGTTGTATAAAATAATTTCAGTAGTTGAGATAGTGAAGCAGTGATGTTATTGTGATTCATTGACATAATTGGAGAAAAAACCCCCAAAAAAAAACAATTTGGATTGTAATCTTATTCGTTTAGATTGAAGATAATCTTTTGGTGGTCAACTTGCATGATTTAAGTATGCATATCCAGCGTAAGAACAGGATAATATCCGCGTGCATTTAATTTTATTCGGATACTAACTGAAAAAAGTGATTATAATAATTTTGTATAATAAATTTTAGATGCTTACTGATAAACTTCTAATTGTATTAGATTTTTCAAAAGATTTGCAAAGCTTTCATTGCCAGGCAAAAAAAGCTTGTAAAAAAGGCTTATTAAATGAAAACTGGAAGTACATAATGTCCATGAATTTTGCAAAACATCCAATTTCAGGTCTCCATCTTACTTGTTTTAGTCAAATTACAAACCCTCAAAAAACCGCACATGGTCTTCAAATGTCTCACCATGTCGGATTTTGGTCACCGAGCCATCTTCTTCGACCTGAAAACAAGAGTTCCATATTCCCATTTATACCTTTTACCATTGAAATATTATGCTAATGAAGTAAGATGGTTATTGTTAGATAATAAAAATCTCGAAATATGAGAAGCTTGCAACGTAGACAAGGTTGAAGCTCGTTACCCAGTACTCGGGAGGGCGCATCTTCAGATTGTACGTTGATGCCATGCTCATGCAGTATGCACCTGCATCGTGGACGACCAGGCCAGTCCCCTGCAAAAATATAACTTCAGAAGATGCAAATCTCAAACGATTGATGCTCCGATCACCTCCTTACAGGAAAAAACAAATACCTTAGCTGGGGTCGGAAGTTGTCTCTCTTTTCCCAAGAAATCTGCGGACTCGCAAACAGGGCCAACAACATCAAATGTGGAAACCTCCGTGTCGGGAGGTGTAGGAGAAACCAGTTCTATATGCTGCAAACAAACATGAATGGTCCATTGAGAATGGACGGGTATAAACGTATAATTCAGAATACAAAAAAATTCGATGTGGGTGACTAGCTATTGTTAAAAATAAATACTTAAAACAGAAGCTAAATACACATGCATTGCGAAGTTGATTAAACAGATAGGTGAAGGAGGTGAGACTGAGCCAATAATCTACTTCGATACAAGTTCAAACCAATGGCACCTAGGATGGAGACATAGTTAAAACAAACAGTAAGATACACCTGGCATAAATTTGTCAAAAACTCAACCTCGATAAATGATGAGAGTCGTACCGAGTAAGAATGAATATCAGCATAAATTTTTCACAGCTTGAAAATGAAAAATGATGATACCATCATATCGAGCAAGATGAACTAAGCCTTTCAAATAAGAAAGATGCTAGCATATTGGTTTTCCAATCAACAACATTTAAGGAATGGTTTTTTTAGGGTTCTGCACTATGGAAATGGTTTACCAATACTTACTTGGTAAGCATCATAAAGACTCGGACGGATAAGTTCAGCCATACTGCCATCAATAACGATGAAATTTTTTGTTCCATTAGTTTTGACTCCAGTAACACGATTTACCAAGCAGCAAGTATTTGCAATGAGCGATCTCCCTGGTTCAATGACTAGATTAAGATTTCTTGAAATGACCAATTCTCTGACCTACACCAACCACCGTCAAGAAAAACACATTATTAGTAAAAAAAATTCCCTGACATGAATAATGGCCATGAATCATGATAAGTATCATAGCATTTATTCCAAAAATGAAAGAAACTTTCACATAGAAAGTATATGAACTGAAAATTAGGATGCAGTTGTACTTTATTGTATAAAGCACGTACAGAGACAGAACACCTTACATTCCAGCCAAAGTGTGACTACTATGGTCTGAAACACCTATTTCTCACACCAGCTGGCCAAATAATTCATGCATGAATAAACCACATGCATCGAAACAACAATTTCAAGATTTAGAGTCCGAGCCTTACAGTGTCAATGAGATCTCTAGGTTTGGGAAGGACGGCACCACTATGGTAGTAATCTATCCCCAACCCGCCTCCAATGTTCAGATAATCAACTTCAAAACCTTGGGAGCGGATTTTGTCAATGTAGTTGACCATAAGAACTGCAGCATCCCTGAATATATCCACCTGAACAACATTGTGTAAGGGTTTCAAATTAGAAGTTGCATGAGCAGCAATAGCATTGATGTGCAACTTCTGAATAATAAGACAAAAAGACTATAAAAAATAGAAAATAATCAAATTGAAGCGATGGAAGCATCTTAGAAACAAGTACTGGCTGATCCTGCATCAGTCAACTTGATCATCTGAAAAAAAAAAGGTTAGCCACTGCAAACCCGCCTTCGAAATTCTCTAACCGGATCTAACTAGCTGAAAGCTACATCAGATAAAGGTGCTGTTGAAAACATACCTTGGTAATTGTCGAACCAAGATGACAATGGGCTCCGACAAGCTTCAGCTCATTAGGGTGTGCCTTTACAGCATCCAGAAACCACTGCAGCTTCTCATTCCTAATACCAAATTTAGAGTTCTTGTTCCCAGTAGCAACATATGGATGAACCTACAAGGGAATATCCAAGTCATTTAAAACACAGAAATCTAAAACTCAGATAAAAAAACATGCTCCTACCATCTCTTAAATATTGATTGTATAACCACTACATTACCTGAGGATCCACATCCGGGTTGATCCGAAGCAAAACATTAACCTTTCTGCCAGCAAATTTTGCAGCTGCAACAATATTCTCCAGATCAAATTCACTATCCACATTCACAAAAACACCTTCTTGGGCAGCTAGTACCAAATCCTCCAAGAGCTTCCCATTTCCATTAAATATACACCTATAAATTCAGATATAAGCACCAATCAAACTATATATGCAGTCAAACAAAAACCACAACATCAACTTGGCAGTGGCACGTCATAAAGCAAGGTGAATAGATTAAAATCCCCATGTCATTGCAATAATGCTTTTTCTTATACACAAAAAAACCAAACTTTTGATCAAATCTTTGAGAAATTTATATCCTTCTGTACCCAAAACGTGAAACAAAAACACAAGTAGTTTGCAAAAATAAAACAAGCATTGTCCAGAGTAAGAAAATGTACTTAGTTGGATCGAAGCCGGCATGAAGAGCCAACTTGAGTTCATTGCCACTAACAAGCACAGCACCACAACCCAACTTCCTCAAATGCTGCAAAATCTTCAAGTTATTATTGGCCTTAATAGCATACCCAATGATGGGATTCTTCAAGCCTTCAAGAGCTTCCTTATAAGCTTCCACATTCCTAGTAATCTGGGGCTTACTGTACAAATAAAAAGGCCTCTTTTCCACTTTTCCCATGATGTCCTCGACCTTGATATCCTCACAGTAGAGAAACCCATCTGCGGATTTTGTGAAGCAGTGTTCAAAAGTGGGGCTCTGGGTTCTAGCAGCGTTTTGAGAGAGGACAGCTTTGAGGGAGAGAGAATGGCGTTTGAAGAGATTTTTGGATGGTTTGAGGGGTAAAACGGGGAGTTGGGTAAATGGGTTTTGTTTCAAAGGATGGTTTAGGGTTTTGGGAAGAGATGGGGAGTGGGAGAGAAGGCTGTGAGTAGTCGCCGCCATGGATGATGAAAATGCAGCAGCTTATGTTTGTTGGCAGCTAGTGTCAGATAAAAGTGAAAAATTAGGTTTCCAGTTTTGTAGGAATTAGGAAGCAAATTTAATCAGTAAAGCTTCAGACATTATTAAGAATTGGGATTGGGCTATACACTGTTTTATCAGTCCATTTAAAAAACTGGGCTCTGAATAAATCAAACAACAGTTGAAGCATTCAACATGAGATGTAACCCAATTGACTTATGCACAATAAAATAATTATATAATATGAAAAAGATGATCCTCAAAACCTGTCATATATATATATATATATATATATATATATATATGATGACATCTCACAATCTTTCATTGAATTTCATATTATGAAATATTTAGATATTCTGCAGCACATTAACTCTTGATATTATGATACAGATTCCTGTGTTCGAGGAAATTCGATCTCGAAAAAGCGAAGCAAATGGGGGGCTGATATGCTCCAATGGAGGAAGGATTTTGGGGGTGGACATGATCATGGAGATAAAACAAGAAACATCGATCACACTGCTATATATGTACACGCATTGCAACCTTCTTATCCGTGTTCTGAACTTGCTTCTTTCGGACTGCTTTCGATGTCAAGGACTTTGATTTCAAAGAATACAATGAAGTGATTAAGTATTATCCACAAGGATGTCATGGAGTTGATAAAGATGGACGACCTGTTTACATCGAAAGGCTCGGTCAAGTCGATGCTAATTGCTAACAAGCTGACTCAAGTCACAATCATCGACCGATATCTGAAGTACCATGTAAAGGAGTTCCAGAAGACCTTTGCTGTTAAGTTCCCTGCTGCATCCATTGCTGCAAAAAGGGCAAATTAATCAAAGCACAACCATATTGGATGTTGAAGGAGTGGTATGTGAAATATGTCAGTATATATATGTATGTATGTCTTAAAATGTTGCTTGATTGCAGTTCTAATACTTACGTGTTAACTATAAATGAACAGTTGCAGTTCTCGTACCAGAGCAAATTGCTGGAAGTGATCAATGCTAAGTGAGTCCCTTCTAAACCGATTGAACTCGTTGTTGTATTCCGATCGTTGACAAGGGGATCGATGTTGTCCGATCGTCAACAAGGGATCGATTCTTTTTGGCCTAAATCAGTGGAAGATCAAAATTTTGTCATTTCCAAAGGTACATGTTTTTCCCCCCGACAGGCTAATTCTTTAACCTTTCAATTACTACCGCCAAACTTTCAACCGCAACGTAACTACGTGAAGATAGTTTGATGAACCAACATGATATTGTTCTAACATCACCATTTTGTTCTTTCTTTTTGTTTTTTGGCCAAAAAGTGAAGGATGATGGGACAGGAATGAGCACCAACAACTTCGGAGGAATAATAAGCTTCGGTTATAAGTATCGTCACCATGATTCGCTTGTCTCGCAACATACCGAGGAAACTAAACGAAGCTACCTTGTACAGTGGTCAAGTTTGCTAAGCAAAACCGATGTTCACAGGGCGTATGATGGAGCAGTCGCAACCGTGGACTATGACGAGGGACGACTACATTACCGTGAAGAAACGCATGGCTAAATTGGATTAGGCGGTGAGTTTTCTCATGCGGAAACCGGCAACCATGCCGCCGGAGAAAGAGGAGATGCTGAATGATGCGTTAAGAAGGGTCTGCGTCCTGGAAGAAGAGCTATCTGCTGCAAAGACGGTAGATTGTTAACAGCTTGGTTAAATTTTAAGAACTCAAAATGCCTGGTGAACCCGAAAAGAAGGACGGGGGCATGTATTTTCTCGCCGTGCTTGAATTTCAATTGTTTGTTTCTCCTTTGTTGAATACGCAGAAACTTCAGGAAGCCCTTGATAAACAGGAGGAACTTCAAACATGCATTAAGAAGGTCTGTAAGTTGTCAGAGCTTTTATACGGCACATCAAATCTTAAGAAAAAATTCCTTTAATCTTTAAAAAAACATTACAGTTATTTTATTAAATCTAACCCTCTGTTTGTTATAAATTAAAACACAGACCTCATAAAATGTTATGCTGCGTAAAAACCCACGTATATATACATCCGAATTGTGTGTGTGTATATATATATATATATATATATATGATTATTTTTGATGTACTGGAATTTTTTTCATATGCAATTAAAATGGTGACAAGTGCTTTTTTTATATTTTAAATTTATCTCATGTATGTATATATGTTAGGATTTTGTAGTCGAAAAAAATAAACAAAACGATATCAACATAGAATAATATACATACAAAAAATGAAATTTAACGTGATCCAGTCTTGTTTAACTTCATATATGAGACAAATAATAATTCATTGTCAACATAAAGATCACAAAGAGTGTAAGTATACATAGTCCACTTGTATCTCAAAATCGTTATATCATATTATACTCTTTCAACATCCATGCAAAATTAGTCTCAACAACATAAACTAAAAAATTTAAAGAGATCATGAAAAGCATTGTGTCTCTCCAAACTAATTCTCTCATATAATTCTAAAGGTAAGATCTATCATATATTCATAGGGAAAATGAACTTGATCACCAATAATCCTTATTTCATAAGAATTATTACCCAAATAAACTTATTCATAAGTAATCTTCAATCACTAGAATTATAATAAAATACAACTTAATTATCAATTAGAATTTGAATTAATATGTATCAATCTTCCTCTTAACACAAATTTCTTCAAAAGTTAATCTTCAACAACTTTAATTTTTATATAAGCCATATGTTGAAGTGTAATACTCTACATCCAATGTGTGTCTACTTTGGGCTTAAAGTGCTACATTCGAGCCCGTTAGTGACCCAAAATCCATAATATTTTTTTTTTGGATTTAAGACTTCTTGAAAATCATTTTTAGTATTTTAAATACAAATCATTTGACAACTGAGATAGATAGTTTACAAAATATGGAGCTTCGACTCTTTTATGATCCATAAAAATGTAATAGTTTCAAAACAAGATCAAGCATCAAACTGAATACATTTATACAAACACAAGTACATAAGAGTGCGTATGCGCTCTAATATAATTCAGAATTGTACTATGATAGTTGAAGTGTTATAATTCCTCAATGATAATATTCTCTGAATCTATTATCATCTAACAAAATTTTAAAAATGGTAAATAACTAAAGAATGAACTATAAGAGTTTAGTAATGCATAACTATTCATATAAACTCAATAATCATAAATTAAGAATGTAAGGAAAATATGTTATATGAACAACATCATAATTTTTAAATATACTTACAGTACCATATTTACAAGCTCTTGTTAACCTTATCAATACTTGACATCACTTATTTGCTTCTTTATTCAATAATATCATTTGTCTCTTATCAAGACATACCTCTAATTTAAAAGGTGTACCATATAATTCACACTACTCATGATCGGTAAGCAAGTATTCTTATAGTTAGGCGCGTATCTCATACAATACGTCAGCACTATTATTGTTAGATGTGTATCCCATGCAATACAACATCTCTCGTATTGGGGTATATATTGATACAATACATATGTATCCTGTGTAATACATTATCATTCTTGTATTTAGGTGTGTATCTCGTACAATACATCACCTTATTTGTAGTTAGATGTATATCCCGTGTAATACATCACCACTTTCGTATTTAGTATCAATACCATTATCCTAGTACTTATAATATAGAATAGTTCTAATACCACTATTCTGGTACCTATACTCTGAAATGGTACCAATACTGAAATTCTGGTATCTATAATATGAAATAGTTCCAATACTAGCATCTTGGTATGCTCATGTGTAGTATCGATTTCATTCTTTGGCATTGATATTAAAATTAGCTAATGAATTTTTTTATCTAAAATTCTATGAAATCTCTATTAGTATCGATATTTTTATGTATATATATATACTAAAACTCAGAAATTGATATTTAAAGTTTAGAAAATTCTTTCCAAACATTCCAATTAAGTTTGTTTACTCCTTTAATTATTACTAATGGCCACTAAGGCCATCCAGACATTCATAATCCTCATTTACACCATCAAAACAACCATCAATATCCAAAACCAAACTCATGGCACTATTCACATAAAACTTGATTTCAACTTATAAGTCTAAACATTATAGTTTATATAGGTACTCTAGGAACGGAAATACATTATCCTAGTTTTGGTCACTACAAAAGAAGCTTCTTGCTCCTCTTCCAAACTTTCTCATTCCTTTAGCTTGAGAAGGTTCTCATTCATTCTTCATTAAAACGGAATAATCAAATAATACACATATAAGATGACTAAAGAAATAATAGATAAATAAGATATACATTTTCGTCATTTTCAAGCTATCTCACCCTTTCTCTTCTCGTCCAAACTCAGCAAATCCGAGATGGGTATTACATTCGAAATGTGGAGATTCACCACTCGATATAAAACTTAAGACATGAGGAGAGTAATTCTTACTTTAGCAAATTTTTATTATGCCTAAAATGTTTAAGATAGGAGAAATATGGGAAAATGGAAGAAAAAGAAGAAAGGAGAAGGTGAAGATGATGTCACTCCGTTTTTATAATATATAAAACTCACGGCTATTCCACCATTTAAGAATAATATCTAGATTTTTCTTCATTGAAGGAGTTAATTACAATATAAGTCCTTCCCTTTTTATTTTAGTTTCAGTTTCATCCTTCCGGCCTACCATTTGGGCCCAAATCCACTTCTACTAAAGTTCCTGAATATCTCACCTATTAGTTAAACTTACTTACGCATTGGTTCAGGTCCACTCAGGGTATTGATTTAAGATTCCTCGGGTTATTACATGGCATCATTGTTAAATCTTCAACTTTAGTCCTTACGTAATGTTTATTGAAGCATCGATGGATTAATTAAGTATTACTATCACTGCATTTGAAATTTTGTTATAGTTAAACTTCTCTTGCATGTCTCTAATATTTCTAATAAAATTCATAAAAAAAATTATTCGAAATTGAATAACTCGAACCATAACTATGATACTACATTTTAGGAATTTGTAAGCAGAAGAATAAACAAAGTGAGATCAACATAGAATAAAACACGTGCAAGGGACGAAATTTAACATGGTTCGATTTTGTTTAATGCTACGAATGAGAGAAATTATAATTTAATCATGAAGAGCATAAATATATGAAATTCACTTGTATCTCAAAACTCAGTATATATTTCAAAACTCGTTTAATTGTGTTAAGATACAATTGTTAGAATATTTTTTTTAAATTTTGTTACTCGAATTTAATTTGAATCCATATATAACTACTCTTCTACTATCAGACGGATTAAAAAGTAGAAAACGTAGTTTGAGTATATTTCTTCCAAAACCAAACACCGAAAATTGCATTGGTTCTTTAACAATTTTGGTTTGTTCAATTGGTAATTTCTTGCGGTAAAATAGTTTAAATAGTATGTTTAACATTAAACGCTCCGAAACCAAGTTCTGAACCTTTTAATTTCAGTCATTACATGGAAACCCAAAACAAGATTTATATTCAATTAACATAAAAATAAAGATTTGTATTCAATTCAATGTCATAAATAGAAATGAGGGCAAAACACTAAGTGGGATTTGTTGCGTCTCTCCATGGGAAAAGGCATTATCACCAGCAAAACTTCTTTTTCTGAAACAGAGAAGGAAAATCAGTCACAATCATAGTTTGACAAGAACATAGGTGCATATAACCATATAAATACCCGGAACATCTACGAAGTGAACATAAATCATACCCGAAGTTTGGCTTCCTCTTGACTGTCTATGTAAGCGAGAAGTTCTTCTTGCCTCATCAAAGCCTCGTGAAGCGCCTGTTCCATACGACACATACATGCAAAACCAAAATGAAAATCTCAGAAAAGGCGAGCAAGAATGATGATCAATACGTGATTAATCAGTTGATAACAAATACTCCTCTAAAGGATGATCAATACGTGATTAATCAGTTGATAACAAATACTCCTCTAAAGGACATTGAGGTTTCAAGAAATATTGTGTGGTCACGTAAAGCAATCAAGTTTTATGTTTGACACTATAACAAGTAATAAATCCAACTTCAAAAGTAGATTTTAACAGCTCTGCACCAATGCAAAATGCAATGATAGCACTATCAGATGCCATGTAAACAATTCATAAGTACCAAAAGTTGAGAAATTCATCACTCAACATGGATTAGGGAGCTCCAACATAAATATGGCCATGTTTTGGGAAATATTAAGAAAATTATGACTGCCAACAGTACCTTCTTGGTAGCAATTAACTCTGCTTCTAAGGCATCAACGCGACATACAGCGGCATTCAACAATTCCTCTTTCTCACAAGGCATCTCAGATGGCTTTGCTTGTAGTATATCAACTTTCTCCTCAAGCTCAACCAACCTCTTGAGCACAGAAGATAATGCATCTTCCTGAGAAGGAGGTGGAGGTGGAGATGAAGAAAGCTCTTCCCTTTGAATTGCATCAGGGGTATGTTCAGTACTAGACACTGTGCCAGGAAGCTTTCTGGTTATATTGAAAGCTATTGAGCGCAGCAGAGTGTAAAGTGTCATGAAAAAAGCCATAACAGTCAGCAAAATCCGAGCTTGGAATCCTTCTGGAGCTCTGGGTGTTTCAGGCAATGTTGGTGCACCTGAAATGGAAAATAGCATTTCATTTTCTTAAGCATGCTTCAATCAGGATAAACAAGATTTTAAGAAGAAATTTGTAGAATCTAAAAGGATAACACGTATACAAGATTATATTTGTTGACCTTTGGAAGCAGAAGGCGATAGGAGGGGGGTTTGTTTATTCCAAGTAGCATCAACAGCTTTGTCAACCATTGGAACATATTCATCATAGCCTGAGAAGTTACCAGCGTGGCTTGTTTTCCCAATAACCTTAGTCTGTATGAATTACAAAGCCAAAGAAAAGGATTAGCAACATTGCCAAAATGCCAATGATAATAAACCTGGGTGGAGAATCTGATAAGATGAATAATGAAGTCATCAAGATAATCATTAGTCAAAGCACACTGTTGATTGACAACCAAACAAAACAAAGAAACCCCTAAAAATGTAATTAGTGGATCGAAAAGAAAAGAAAGCGAAAACAGTCGTACTTTATAACCAATTTCATACTGATGAACTCAGCATCCCAAAGCATCTCAGTGCTCCAAAAAGAATAATACTATATTAACTTATATCCAACAGTACATAAATTCGTAATGAATGTAATCCGGCACATTATGAGGGACAAGCAATGCATTTCGATTACATAACCGATATGAAGGATTATAATGTCAAAAGAACCCACTTCTTCATGAACAGGGGCCAGCCTAAGCTGTGAATAGTTCCTCATTGCTTTTGGGGATGCAATATCTTCAGCTTCTGATCCAGATTCTGCCGTGGATGTATCACTACCTTTCAACTGCTTCACACAACGGAATATGCAATGAGATTATGCAAACAGGAATATCAAACATTTGTCAGAATAAAAGGATCGTTACAATTTAGAAGAAATATACCATTGGAAGATATGGCTTAGCATAAGCAATAACCTTTCCATCACTATTCAAAACTTTTACAACTTGTCTGGGACGCCTTGCTTCAGAATTAAGAACCATCTGAGAAAAAAACACAAGCAACATCGTGTTTCTTTGTTAGAAAAAAAATACGCTGACCAAGCCCTTGAAACTAATAGCATCAACAACATATCATAAACCCAGGCCAGTTTATAACCTTCAATATTTCAGGATTTCTCCAAGGCCCTTTATCAGAGCGAAGGCAACCTCCCTGATCTGCACAAGTACAGCTACCACCCAGAAATTCTGGCAGCTCGCTGAAAGGAATTCAAATATCACCATTAACTTTTTGAAAGAAAGAGGCAACGGCAGAATGTTTGTTAAAAATATACATCAGTAATCTAAGCGAAGGATGGCAAAAATTGTATTGCAAAATAGAGAAAAATAAAGATTAGACAACAATATAACATGTCATTGAAGTTCTAAGCCAATTTACCTGGCATCAATAATTTCAAGCAATTTGCTCTGGTACTTGTTTCCAATAACCTAAAGTCAATGCACACGTTACATATATGTAAAAATTACAAATCACCAAAAAAATGAAGGCAATGAAAATTAAAATGCAAAAAGAGTATACTCAATTTCAAAAATATTGCAGAAAAAGCATTTAATTACATGGATCTTTGAAGTTGTTTTGGGATCCAGAAATGTCTTCACAGTATTCCACAGCAACCTAAATCCAGGTCCAGCATTAATGATAAACATTTGGTGAAGTGTCTGCAAAAGTAAAAAGACAACATAAAATTTTAGCTCAACATACAATAATATAAAAACTTCAATAGAAGAATGACTTCGTAATTCATCATGCAAGCACACTGAGAGTGCAAACCTCAGGGTAGTTGTCACCGTCAATCTTCTGCAGCCGCATAATTAGTTCCCTGGCAGACTTGGTAAAATTCTTAAAGCCCTAATAAAAGATGGAAAGAAAGACAATTATCACTTAGCTACTACATAGCAGCCAAATAATCAGGTATTAACAAAGTAATGAATGGTCACAAAAAAAAACTTACCACACCATGGACATCTAAAATTGTTGTGCTTGAATCAATGTGCCTCCTTGTGGCAATTGTACAAGCAGGAAACTTTACACTGAAGGCCTTCTCAAATTCCCGGACATGGTATTTTACATACCGATCCAAAGTTGTAACTTGCATTAGTTTGTTGGGATCAACTTTTCCCAATCTTTCAATATACACAGGTCTTCCCTCCTTATCAACACCGTGATAACCATGAGGGTAATACCTTAAAACCTCATTCAATTCATTAAACTCAAAATCCTGAAAACAGGGATAAAAATGCAGTGAAAAACATTTATTACAAACAATACTACTTCGGACAAACAATTAACAATAATTACCTCCGTGATGGTGTCAACACCAAACTCCTTCCTCCATTGGAGCATATCTGCCCACATGTGTTTAGCTTTATCTATATCAAACTTCCTTGCTTTCAAGAACCTAGATAAAAGTAAACTAGAACTGGTTATTATATGTTGCATCATTAAAAGAATGCAAAGCAACTAAAAGAGAGGATAACAACAGAAATGGCACAGAATCCTTCAAGCATTAAAGAAAGAATACAACAGCAAACGGAAAACAAATAACTTGTGTTTTAAAATGCCAAACAAATAGCATGATAAAAAAACTCAGAATTCTTCTTATGTTTTTCTTAATAAAGCTAATTAAATTTAAGTCAAAATTTAAGAAATCAAATAACATTCATGAATAGTCATAGAAATAACAATATAGTATATATAGAATGTCATAATTAGGTTGTCCACAGCTGAATTGGCAAGAGAACAAGACCAAGAAAACTTGGATTTCAGTACTAAAAAGAACAATGATAAACAACTATAAGGGGGAATTATGAGATAAAGTAATATGAGAGTACCTCAACATCATGTGATAGTCATCGTGCTTTTCTGGAAGCAATTCTTCCATAATCAATGCTTGTCGAAATTGATCAACTGCCTGCAGCTCCTCGAGATCACGAATATCCTCAATGGATACAGAGCTGACACGGCCATCGCTTTTCCTTCTACTGCTACTCTTCCTTTTGAGAGAATGCTTGAATCTAGTAGATGCATTTAAAGCTTTCTTTTTCAAGGATCCAATTTTTGTGCGCCTTTCATCCTCTGAGTTCTCGAAATCAGATTTTCTCTCTCTCCTCTCATCACTACTCGAAATACCTTCAAAGCCTGCCTCATAAGGATTACATTTACAAACAAGTATTGTCATTAGATAAAGAAATGATACGAAAAAATAAAAGCGAAACTCAAACTCTAATTATTTTTTCTTCAAAAATATTTCTGAAAATTCTTCAGAAAACCTAAAACAAAGAATCATCAGAGCATGGTAAATTTACCAAACTAAGACACAAAAATAAATAAATGAAAAAAATGACTAAATTCTCCAACGTTATGTCTGTGAACCTAAACAAGAATCCATTTCCTTTCTTCTTTATCTACACAACCAGAATTTTTAAAGCAACCAAACTGAACCTAAAATGAACAGCAGAACAGTAAAGTCAGTTGAAGATAAGGAAATTTGTTAAACTCACAAGGCCTAGCGAACCGGTCGAGTGGCCCCGACATCTACGCTCCTGCAAGAAGAATCAAGACGGCGGCGGCGCCGGTAGTCAGATTTCCCGATGGAATGATCAAAGTACGCGCGCGCCTTATAAAAACACACGAAGTAAAAATCAACAAAACAAGAATAAGTCTAAAGAGATGAGTCCAAATTTGAAGGGCTTGAAATTTGTCTCTCCCTTTGAATTCAATTTCGTTGGAATAAAAGATTTGGAGTACTTACTAGGTAATGATTGTGTCCCTGCGTCACGCATCACGAAGAAGATCGAACGGTCGTAAATTCCTCTGACCAGAAATTTGTTGTAAAATTCAGCAAAGTAGACAACACGAAAACGAATATATGGAAATATACATACGTGGAAGGGCAAAAGTGTTATTACAGGGAAACCTTTGTGGATTTGATTCCCGGATTTCTTATTAATTTTTGTAAGCGTTTGACTTTGAATCTACTTTTTATTTAAATTTCATCTAAATTTATCCTAATATTTTAAATAATATATATAAATATTATTATTATTAAATTAGTAAATATTTTTTATTTAGTTAAATTAAATTATTTGTATTAAAATATTGATTATAACTAAATTATTAGTTAAGTTATATAAACATAACTAAATTATCTACTCATATTCTCTATTGAATTAATTTATTTTATTTTTAAAAACATAATTTATTTTTTCACTATTAATGTGTTAAAAATACTCTATTATTTAAAATTTATTAAACGATTTAATAGAAAAGATAATATTGTTCTACATTTTAATTTTAAGTTTAAATAACTATATTTAAAATATACATTCTTAATATATTATCTTATAATCGTATACAAATAAAAAAATATTATATATATATGATTAGTTCCAATTTTCAAATGGAACTCTTTTTGACTTTCTTTCTCTTTTCCTTTTAGTTTTTTAATAATTATGGTGGGGCATAAATAATTATGGAAACTCGAAAAAATCCACATTTTATTGCATGCCTTACGCACGCCATTTTCATTGCATTAACACCTTTTACTTTTACTCAATTATGTATATAGGAAAACATCTATTTTATTATTATGAATAGTTTTGGATATAGTGTTTTTCTAATAAAATTACCGATTTCTATAAAAGAGATTTATGTATATTCTTTATAAAAAAATTCTAAAATTAATCATGAATTAATATCAATTAAAATAAAACAATGTCTTTTATTAATATAATATATATTCGGTCTTTACTCATATATTGTTGTATTCGAAATAAAAAAATGTAAAGGAATAAATGATGAACAGCGCAAAAACATTTATTAATTGACAAATTTAATATTCATTGTTTCATTGCAAGTGGGTATTGTTATGAAAGTCGCCTATGCTCTGAATAGCTGTATTCAATAGAGAAAATGTTCCGAACCAATATAATATATATAATCCTAATTCAATTGAAAATTCTTTTAGTAAGAAATGAAGTGACAAATTAAGGATATAAGTTCATAGAAGAAAGCAAGTATTATACATATTATTTTGACAACAAATATTTCGATAATATTGACCAGACATCATACTCTTCAATTCTTTATTATAAGAAAAAGTTGTCCTTAATTTTTTGAGTTTCTTTAAATTGAAAATAAAGTTGAAATGATCACATATTAGTAAGTGATGAGGATTGTGTATTTTTTATATAAATAATGTGATAATTTAATATTGATATATAAGTTGACATATATTAATGTAAAAGTTATTTTTTATTCTATTTTGTTATATTCATAATTAAGATCATAGATTTCTTATATATTTTAATTACAGAGAGAAATCGTTATTATTTAATTTTTTTTTACGATCAACTAAATATTAATAATTTATTATTATTATTTTTTTATCATTTATATACTGATGTACATGCTGATTGTTCATTCTAAAATTTAATTTTATTATTTATTTTATTAATTGTGATGTGTCTACATGAGATTTTATTTATGTTCATACATATATAAAATATTTATGTTATTAACATAAGCATATTCACTTTAGAATATTTTTAAAACCACTCTTATTATTACTTTACCAATTTAATTTTTTCTTCAAAATCTCTTTAAATATTCTCTTTCTTTCTTTCTTTCTTTCTTTCTTCGAATGGCCCTTCTCTTCCACTATTATTGATCGTCGTTATCGCTGTTGCAGAGTCACCGTTAAATTTTCTCAAAATGGGTGGTGAAAGGAATATTCCTGCCCACGTATGATATTTATTTGTCTTGTTTTTACACGGCGGTGATGATGTATTGAGTGTGAATCTTTTATCCAAAAAATTATTAAATTGTGGATTGAATCTTAATTTAATTAATATTATTACATTATAATATAAGTTATGAGTTCAGATGCATTTGAATAAGCATTAATCTTAAGAAAAATAAACAATAAGAAAGATGCGACATTATTATTTATTAAAAATTTCATTTCATGCACGAATCAACTGGCTTCCGTGATAAATGAATTGTTATTATACCTTGAGGATTCGGGTTCGAGTATCATAAATATCAGAGGTGTGACCGTTCAATATCGAGAGGTTGAGAATTATCTTTGAACAAATATTGTATTGTGCTTAACCTAGATTAATAAATAAAAAACTGTTCATCTCATAGTATTATTTTCAATTTATACCTAGGATAAAGTATATAAATAGTCCATTGTCTATAATGTATTTGCTTTGTTGAGTCTTTCGACGATTAAAAGTTATAAAGTGATAACTGGTCATTATGTTTTAAACTCGTCATTTTCTATTAAAAAATTGATAATTGTTTGAGTTGAATGCTACCGTACTAATTGAGATATGATAAAATTATATTTTAATGATGTATTATGACACCGTCATAACGTTTAAGCATTGGCTCAACGACATAATGTTTCAACACTAACTCGATGACATAATATAAACAAAGATTCGATCCACAAAATACACCTAAAATGATTATGAGATCATATTTTATCATATCTTAGCCAACATATTAACGTCGATCTCAAAAGGTTTTCGATTTTATAATGAAAAAGAATGAGTTTATAACATATGAATACTTGATATGATCATTTTGTAACTTTTAATAATGAAGAAACTCAATAAAACAACGCTATATAGTCGTAGGATCGTTTGTTACTTTCAATAGTCGAAATAGTCAATAAAATAATATTCTATAATTAAAGGATTATTTGTGTACTTTACCCTTCGATTTAAGATGATCTTTTATAAGACAATTTCTTTATTTTGACTTGACTAACTAACTATTCAAGTTCCTCTGGTATAGATAATTTGTTGAGAATATTATAATTGATTGAAATCTTCATCAATTGTTTGTATTATCTATAAATTAAAACCAAAATATAATACCACTTTTTATTAAAGGCCTGGAATCAATATTGGGCCAAAATATTTAGATTTGGACTTGTAATTTAAATATTTTATTTGGGTTTTCAAATAAGAAAAATGGATTTGGATTTGGATATGGATTTGGATTTGAACTAATCCAATCTTATAAATTTTTTGGGTAAATTATAAATTTAATGACTGAATTTTCTTTGTAATATTTTATTTATTATATTTTAATTTTTTTTAATTTAATCACTCAACTTTATATATTGATTTTTCTGGTCATTCAATTGTTTCCTCCTTAACTTGTGATGATGTGGCAATTTTTATAAATTCTTAATCAATTAATATTTTATTAATATTATTTACATTTTTATTATTATCAACCGCCCATTTGTCACTCATCTTCTACACCGTCACTACCAACACCTTCACCGCAGAAAATCTCTCTTTCCCATTCCCTTACTCCCATGACCCATCCTTCGTCGCTTCATCAGTATCTGCCAACGCAAAGCACCAAACTTTAAACAATCAAGAAGTTAACTTCTTCAACCCAAGCTTCCACCAAGAACTCTCTCCACTTCCAAAAAGTTTGAAGGCTCATCGGAAATTGTAAAGTTCCAGTCCTTTTCTCATCGCCGATCAACATTTATCTTATTTGGTACGGTAAATGATCTGCTTCTCAAAACTACTCATCAAAGATTTCATTGACTCCATTTCTCCTTCATCGACGTCGCCGTCGTATTCCATTTTCGAATGGTGGAAAATCATCTCCCTTTACACCGACCAGATCGGAGCCAACGTTTCCCGATCTGAGACTGGTCCACTCAAGCTGTTAAGATCAAAGATGAAATATTTTACTGAGCACAGGAAGATGTAGATGGCAACTGGACCGCATGCAAATAACGATTTCCACCATTTTCAGTCCTCTAGGAAGAGATGCATGTAAGTTAGCACCAATCCAAAGATACTTCAGCACAACAAATCATAATGAGAAAGATAAGAACAATGAACAGAAACCCAGAGACATAGTAAACTCGTCCCATCCAGATGCTAGACACATGAAGAAAGCTCGATGAAAAGGGTACCGAAAGTAGATTCCAGGCACCAAGAACTAGCAACCAAGATAGGTACCTTAAGCCGGAATTTCCCGGAGGATCTAGTTGGTTTAAACATGGTATTCGATATGAGGTGCCTTAGCCCCAAAAGTGTGCACCAGTTGGAATTAGGGTGAGTGGAACCGAGATACAGAACCAAAGTAAAAGTAGAATAACAAAGAGAGAAAATGGAATAGCCCTTGCGCTGTGACTTCCCTACAACAGGTTCTCACCTCACGCGCCTCTCCGTCTAACAGGTTATTTCCACTGCTGTTGGAGCCGCTCCTTTCCCCGTCAACCTTCGCAACGGAATCTACTTAGTCCTCAGTACCTCCCACTACATCACAATTCAGGACTTTTTTCGTGTCGTTTGTGGCTTCCATTACTTCACGTTCCCGTACATGACGGGACACAGTCTGCCCTATGCATGGGTCGGGAACTCGGGGAAACAATGCCCGAGGTCTGCGCTTACCACTTCGTCGTCTCTGGATACATGAGCTGCGGAGGACCGGGAGGATTAGTCCCGCCCACGAGTTAACCGAGTTAGCTACAAATCCGCTGGTGAACGCATGGTCCGCCGGTGAGGACCCGTCATTGACCGAGATCGTATATCTCTGTGAAAGATTATACGGTAGTGGCGGCGGCGGAGGGCATATCGCTCTCGTCATGAGGGATCGAAGAGGAAAGACGTACAATATGAATGTCAATAAATGACGTAAATTCACGGTGCAATATTGGGTGTGGAGTCCTGTGTTGAAAGCTTGTGCTGTTTTGGATAGTATTTCTCATATTTTTTCTGGGTTTTTTTTTTATTTTTTTCCAAAAATTAATAAAAGTTTCCACGTAATCACATAGGACGGTCGATGTTAAGAATGCAGTAAATAAAAAAGAATACTAGTATATTGATCATCGTAAAACTGCACTTGGATTACAAGACTTCAGCCGTTTATATATAGCTTCTAATGACTATTATAAGCCTAACAGTTTTTACAATTGATGTTAAACCTTAATTGCTACTAACAACTTCAAGAAGCTGCTAACTACTTAACTAACATCACCATGCGGACTAAGCACGAGCAACAACATTGTTGCTGACATGCTAACATTCCCTCTACTTCTTCTTTTGTTCTTCTATCTTTCCTCACTTTTTTGAACTTTCTTTTTGTTGGAAGCAAGACGGTTAAGCTACGAGCATCCGGGTGTAATCTGAAGCCTCTCTTGGGCAAGAAAACACCATATTTTGTCTGGTTAAGGAGGACAAGGCTGTTAAACACTTAATCCTCCCCAGATAATTTTCTTTCGAGGTAAACTTGATTGTTAAGCCTCAAAGTTTCATGATCACCTTGTGAGAGAAGCAAACAGCTAACAAAGAAAATTAAACTGAAGGTAATCGAGCAACCTAAATCTATAGTAAAAGTGTCCATAATTCAACAGCAATACCGGCTTAAGCCAAATCAATCAGCAACATGCAACAACTTTTTTTTCCAAGACTTTTTCCTTCTTTTCTTCATTTTCACTCCAGACGGCCTCAAATTTCTCAACTTTTCCCAGCACTATCTCAATCTTAGCTTTCTCGATCAGTCGACCCTTTCGATCCTCATGGGTGCTGAGCACAATCAATGCCGTTATTCCTTTCTGGATTGCAAATCCATTTCGCTTCAAGATCTCAGCTATGGTGACAACAGTAAGAATAGCCATTCCTAAGCCGCAAAGTTCAACCTCGTTGAACTCATTGATGTACCTCTTGGCATTCAGATAGAAGACGAAGGGCTTGGTGATGGAGACTTGCACCTCCTCCTTCTGTTTCTTTTTCTTATCGTTCTTCATGCTCTTGGTCTCTTGGACTGACTCGACAGTTTTCGTTGGAGAAATGGTGAAAGCAACCTCGGCATGGTGATCGGCAGTGACAACTACAACAAGGATAATCGGTTCCTTTCCGTTCTCTAAGTTGAAATCGTCGGAGATGATGGTCTCCTCGATCTTGGCTTATTCTTTGGCCTTAGGGCTCTCTGATTCAACTCATTCAACTGCAATGCTCGACTCCATGAGTGAAGAAACAGAAAGAAAGAAAATCTAGAAGCGTGAAAACAAAATGCCCAGAACCTTGGCGAAAGTAACCATGTTAAGAATGCAGTAAAGAAAGAAGAATACTAGTATATTGATCATTGTAAAACTGCACTTGGATTACAAGACTTCAGCCGTTTATATACAGCTTCTAATGACTATTATAAGCCTAACAGTTTTTACAACTGATGTTAACAACCTTAACTGCTACTAACAACTTCAAGAAGCTGCTAACTACTTAACTAACATCACCATGCAGACTAAGCACGAGCAACATTGTTGCTGACATGCTAATAGTCGAGTGATAGAAAAATCAATGTATAAAATTAGATAATTAAATTGAAGATTTGTAAAGTATAATAAGTAAAACAAGAGTGATAAAAAATCAATTATTAAATTTGTAATTTCAAAGTTCAATTACTATTTAAGGAGAGAAAGGGGAGTTTTGTTCCTAATAAATATTAAACTCACAATTTAAGAGATAATAGGGGTGTCAATGAAAACTTTTATTATCTATTTTAAAGATTATTGATAATCTAATCTTATACTTTTAAAAAATAAAATTCACTTGATAAACATTTAGGAAACTAAAAAGGGATTTGGATTTGAATTAATCTAATCTTATAATTAAAATTTTCAGATATATAAAGCATTTATTAGTAAAATATCATTCTTTTTTCATTTATGCTTGAAAATATTTTATTAATATTATGAAAGCTTTTATGAAATTGAGTTTGAATAATTACAAATAAAGTGTTTTTAGCAAATTTAGACGACGAAACAATGTTTATATTAAAAAACAGTTATGCAGTAAATAATTTATAAAACAAATGGTTAAGAGCTCCAGTTTATATTTATTATTTCCTTTAAGTTATGGTTTAATATTCATAAAAAGTACAAAATCCTCGTATACCTTTTCTTAGATAAAAAATTTTAAAAAAGAAAAAAACAAGTATGTATTAAAGATATTGAAAGAAGTGTCCAAATTTGTCTAAAACCATCGATTTTTCAGATTTAATGGTACATACTACAGACGTAGTTGTTCAAACTTAAAACGTCTGAGTAGAATAATATTATCTTTTACTACTGAAACCACTTGATAAGTTTATGAATGAATATAACTAATACATCTAAACTGAGATAAATAAGTAATTATTATTAAATTTATTATCATTTCGATCCAAATAAGTTGAAGTTATAAAATTAGATTTATTATTTTAATTATTTATTATTTTAAAAATTTGACTGAACTTAATTTTATCAGATAATCACTCCTACTTATCATTAAAATTATTATAATTATGACCCGAACGAGTTGGATGAATTTACTAGGGTTAGAAGCACACCCAAGCTGAATTTTTCCCCGTTGAGGAGGCTTCTCTTTCCCCACCCCACATGTTCCATCAACTTATTAAATTCGATAATTATCTACAATTACTATCACAACAAATTTTCTTATTTATGACATATGAAATATTGTCATTATAATTTATATTTATGTTATCATTTATATTTTATGACGTAAAAATTAATATCACATCAAATGACATGACATGTATGTCATTAAATATCAAATGTGATTATGTATATATTTTCGTCACATATTATTAAAAATATAATAACATTAATGTTTAATGTCACTTTATAATTTGTATTTAATGATAATTATTTACATCACTAAATAATATAAAATTGTATCATTAATTACTTTTATAGTCACTAATAATATAATAATTTTATTATATTAACAACGAAAAAATATTGTCATAATTTCTTTCTTACAAAATTTTAAAATTCTTTATTAAATTTGTTAAAATTTGTAAAATTACAATAATAGTCTAAACTTTTATAAATTACAATTAAGCTAATTTTTATAAATTAAGAAAAAAGACAGAATTTTTCTAAATTACAAAAAAGGGAAAATTATTTATAAATTATAATAAAGGACAAAACATTTTATAAATTAAAATAAAGGACACAACTTCTCACAAATTGTAATAACAACATATACTTTTTACAAACTACAATAAATGCCCAAAATTATACAATCATTACATTTTGATCCATTCGCCCCTAAAATTCCCAAAACCAACCCCCAAATCTCAGCCACGTGGCCCACGTCGCCATTGCCTTAGGGTCACCACAACCGCCGACTATCATTCTGAAGCCATCTGGAATGGAAAACACATTACAACTACTTCACGGCCATGTATGTAATCCACAAATAACCCAAATAATAATAGTCAGATTTTGTCCGGCTATCGTATATTACATCCAATAAATAATGGGAAATGAGTGATCAAAAGTCACGAAAACTATCAAAGATGGTAGCGTTTATAATTGTTTAATGTATAAACTATTTGTCAACTTCATTAGAAAATTATAATTTATTTTTAAGTATTTTCTATGTTTGAATTTTATTCAGAGTCTACACTACTAATATAGGTTTCCTGTGGCAACCTTTGAAACATCACATGCATTACACTACTAACATAAATTTAATTTGCAGTACATGGATAATACCTTTTTGCATTCCAATAAGATAGTGATGAAGCGCTAGTAGCTTCTGAAACTAATTTTGTTCGAGTAAGTATGAGCTTGCTTATGTTAAAGCTGCATTTTGAAGGTTGTGTGGGAAAGAGTATGTTCATGCAATTTTTATAAAATTTGATATGAAACTTCATGGATGATGGAATTCAAAATTTGGGGGAAAATGAGAATAGTAACACAACGTTTTCATGGTGAATATGCGTTGTGAACTACAAGCCAAGTAAAGCCCAAATATTCTCTTTCGAAAAGAAAAAAACATCTTGATCGCACTATGTATATCAATTAGATGAGAACCCACCGGGGGCGGATGCACTAAGTATAATATGTTAAATAAAAAAAATCTAAATATGTTAAAGAAAATTGGAAAAAAATTAGCACCGAAAAGAAAATTAAAATTTTAGACTCCACTTATAAATTTTTTGACCCGCCACTAAACCCACGGTATCAGAAGTACAAGGAGTTTACTTGTATTCATCAAATACAGAAAATAGAAGGCTTCCATTAAATAAGATTTTCACATTTCGTAGAAAAATCCTAAGGAAAAGAAGAATGCAGGCTTACATTGACTTGCCTCTGAACCTCCATCAGATGGCTTTATAAGGGATTTGACGGCGAACAACGCTTTGATTTGGGGCGAGGAATCGTCTGAACCACGAAGGGTTATGGTACTACAATAGGGGTGTGCGAAGGGGGCTTGAGGGGTTCGCAAAATGCTACTGAACGTCGATGGCTCTGGATAATTAGAGGACGGATGATGGCTGGTTGAGAAGGCAGAGGACGCAGCTACTAAGGACGGAAGCTGACGGCTTTAGGGTTGTCTCTTTGAAAACCTACACAGGTGTTATAATATGGGGTTATAATATTACATATATATAGGGTGATTAGTAAATACTAATTTAAATAAAATTGCGGTGCCTTTATGTATATAATATTCATTTGTCTTAATGGTTAGATACTCGTGTAATTACCTTTGGGACATGGTTTCAACACTTGTAGAGTTCAAATATTAGTCAAAAGGGTAGAACTAGAGGTTAAGACCTTGAGTAGTCTAGAGTTCATATTAATTGTTCTAAACTTCTAAAAATTATGAATTGATTGCATAAACTTTACAAGTTTTAGAATTTAGTTATTGCTAATAACAATTTCTGTAGTTGTTTTATATAAAATTTGAAAGGGGGAAATTACAAGTTCAATCCTTGAGCAGTTTAGAGTTCCCATTAATGGCCCAAAAATTATAAAAATTATGAATTGATCACAAAAACTTTAAAAAATTTCAATTTAATCTAAATTTCAAAATTAACCTATTAAAAATCAAATTTAAATAGGACAAGTTCTTTTAACCCCGACGGTAAGCATAAATTCCTTTTTTTCAATAGAAGTAAAAATGATAAAATTAATGGTTCAACACTTGAGTAGTCTAGAGTTCATACTAAGTGACCCAAACTTCTAAAAAAAATAAATTATCAGTAATTTTTACATATTTTCTAATTTAATCTAAATTGTATAATAAAATTATTAAAAAATAAAATTCAAATCGAACAAATTCTGTTAACCTCGATTTTAAGGAGTGTTACATATAATTATCTTATTAGCACTTGATTTTGAAATGATCAACTAAAGATTATTTTTGATGAAAAAAGAGTCTTAAATATACATATACATATAAATATAAATATATATAACACACAAGTGTTATTGACATCATGAGACTAAAATACAAAAAAACATTTGAAATATCATCACCAATAAGATTTTAAATTAGCGGCTCATTCAAGATTACACTAAAACATTTTCCACTATTTTTTTTATGTTAATTCTTGGTGTCAAACATTAGGTGACACAATCTCATGATGTCTATTAAAAATTTCATATAAAAGATGAGCTACAACAATGAATGACAAATAATTTATTTCGTCACGTTAAACCTATTTTTGTGGCACAAATAAAACATCGCCATTTATGTCATATAAAACATGACAAGTCAAATTGTCATGTCAAATAAATCGTCAATAATACTTTAAATTTGTTCGAGACGATTTTACAATGTCACTATTTTCTCTAAACGTCATTGAAAAGTTTTCTACCAAATTTTTTTGGACGCAAATTTTGGCTCCAAATATATAGTGACGAAAATCAACGACCATTTTTAAAGTTGTCATAAAAAATTATACCATCAATCATCAAATGTGACAAAAAAAATTACATTTTTAGTATATTTTGTGATGTTATATGTAACGTCATATAAAAATTTTGTCATAAAATGATAAATTTGTTGTAGTATGTAGTCTATACATACCCTACGATTACACCGACATGATTTATCCTAATAAATAAGTATACTACCATTCATGCAATCCCCTCAATTCCCATATCAATCTTTAAGCATATTCGAGATTCCCCTAATCATCCAAGCAATTTGTTCTATTACTCCCCTCTTTAATCTAAACCCTAGTTGTTTGTTAACAACAATATCTTCATGTTAAATCTTTTGTTGTTGATGTTTGAGATTCATGTTTCCAATTCTCAGTGAGATCTTTCTGTCAGGTTTTATGATCAATTCCACATTCTTCCGCCGGACTCATCTTGTTCACTCCTTCTCAATTGTTTTCCTCTACTGGTTGTATTACGTTTCATGATTTTTTACTATTCTTTACACATAAAATCTCCAATGTCGTTGTTACTACTCTCTCTCTCTCTCTCTCTCTCTCCCTCTCCCTCCCTCTCTCTCTCTCTCTCCTCTCCCTCTCTCTCTCCCTCTCTCTCCCTCTCCTCCTCTCTCTCCTCCCTCCTCTCTCTCTCTCCCTCTCTCCTCTCTCTCTCTCTCCTCTCCCTCTCTCTCTCTCCCTCCTCCCCTCTCCTCTCTCTCTCTCCCTCCCTCTCTCTCTCTCTATCTCCCTCTCCCTCCCTCTCTCTCCCTCTCTCTCTCCCCCCCCTCCCTCCCTCCCCCCCCCTCCCCCCCTCCCTCCCCCTCCCCCCCCCTCCTCCCTCCCTCCTCCCTCCCTCCCTCCCCTCCCTCCCTCCTCCTCTCTCTCTCTCTCTCTCTCTCTCTCTCTCTCTCTCTCTCTCTCTCTCTCTCTCTCTCTCTCTCTCTCTGTATAAGAAAAAGAAAGTTTTTGCAACTTCCATGGCTTCCTTGAGTGGCCCGTCTTCAGGGTCATCAACCGTGACGCAAATCTCAGTATTGTCTGAGGATTTGCAGATGGGTGAAAGGAAAAGGAGGTCGAGGGTGAGGAAGAAGAAGCATTTGGATGAACTAACTGCTCAGGTAACTCAGTTGAGGAACGAAAACCGTCAGATCATTACAAGGGTAAACATCATAGTGCAGCATTACTTGAATGTGGAGGCTGAAAACTCAGTGCTGAGGGCTCAAGCCAAGGAGCTTAGTCGCGGATTGCAGTGTTCGGAAGAGATGATTAGTTTCTTGAATGGTGAAGAAAACATGTTTAAGGCTTCAAGTGTACAACACTTGGGGTTGCTTGGTTTTAATTATAGAATAAATAATATATGATGCAAATTGCAATGCCTTATAAAGTAAAATACTCCATGTGAAGTGAGCCTTGGTTATGGTTTAATTCAACCGTCAAAACTGTTGGTTTGCTTCAAGGTTTTGTTATGTTCGCAATTTAGGGGTAAATGGTTCAACGAATAAAATTGGGTTTTTTTATTTGTTTATTTTCAAATATGTTTATATTTAGTTTCTTTATGTTTAAATTTTTGGTATGGTGTCTATGTTTATTTATTTATTTTTGAATTTATTCGTGTTTGTTCATTTAATATTCGCGAATATAATTATCTAAGATTCATGAACATATTAGTTTAATATTGGTGAACATATTGGTTTAATATTGGTGAATGTATTGGTTTAATGTTTCAAAACCAATACTCTCTTTTTTTCATTTTATTTGCAAGCAAAAGAGAAATGGTGAAATTATATCACTAGCCCTTAAATTCCTTAGGTTTTATAGTTTGAACTCCAAAAGTCAGCTTATATTTAATTTAGTCTCTATCTAAATCAATATTTAAAATATAAAAAATAAAAGGAGAAAGAGAACCGAGTAAATGAGTCGAAAACGAACCAATAAACTGTTTATGAACATAAATGAACTAAACATACATATATTTATGTTTATTTATTTATTAAATGAACATACAAATTTTATTCATATTAGTTTATTTAACTTAATAAATGAATACAAATAAACGTTATAAAAACAATTCACAAATAATTTATTGAACATTATATTTATTTACACTTATATTTGCAGTGATTAATCCCCGGTTTGTTTCTCGACTTTTCATCATACAATAAAGCGGTGAAAACTCTCTTATGTAATTTTACATAATATCAATGAAAATGTAATGAAATTTCTTAACATTTGGATAGTAAACAATATAAAAGAACAAGTAATTTCTACGACGAAAAGTTAATAAAATTTCTCTGTTTAGGTAATTTTACATGATATCGATGATATTATAAAATTTTATATTTTTAAAAAATAAAATGAATAAATTAATCTAACATTTCTGATAATATAATAAATAATTGGATAAATTATGTATGTAGTCATCCACTTATTCCAATGATTCCGGTTTGGTCATCCAATTTTTTTCTTTCAAAATCATACATAATGCCATTTTTTAGTTCTATTTTGGTCACCCACTGTTAGAAAATTAATAGTGATATTAATGTGTCACTATAAGGTAATACCAAATCATCATTAAAAAAATAAAAATTATCACGTCAATAATTTTATTTAATTTTTAACGACGAGTGATCAAAATAGAACAAAAACATGACATTAAATATAATTTTTTGAAAAAAATACTTGAATAATCAAAACATAGCCACAATAAAAAAATAAATAACTAAATGCATAATTTATCCTAAATAATTTTACATATTACCGAAAATAAGTATTATATTTTATAAACAATAACGTTCCTAAAATAAAGATTTTTGGTACAAAGGAAGCTTCCTTTCGGGATTTTCCGTAGTACAACGTTGTTCCTCCGTCCATTACACACGAAGCAATGTCGTTTCCGACAACATGGGATGATCGATAAACACCCAAGCATCTCCCCCCACGTAAATCTTCGATTTATATTTGCCTTTAGATTTCACAATATATTTGTATTTCAATTTAAATCCGACTACCGATGACCGCCGGAATTTTATTCATCTTCCATTTCCTTGCAAACCATCAATCAATCCCTTGACCTCCTCCTCTCACACTCCACAACATGCAAGTTCCTTTCTTGATTTAAATTATAATATTATTATTGTTATTAATATTAATCTTTTTGTTTTTTTATTATTTAAATTATAATGTTGAAAGCAGTCCCAAGATAATATTATAACAATGATGAAGGATACTTCATATTACGATGTATTGGGTGTCAATGTTGATGCATCTGCTGCTGAAATCAAGAAGGCTTATTACCGAAAAGTAAGCTTTTCATTTGAATCCACATCGCGTTTACTTTTATGGGTTTTTTTTCTTCATAAAAGATTCATCCATGGTTTTGGAATTTGGATTCTTCGTGTATGTAAAAGTTTCCGTTCAGATGTTTGTCGAAAATTCAAACTGGGCAATGAAAATGCTCTGAATTATTATTTCTTTGATTCGTTTACGCGGTGTGTTTCAGGCAAGGCAAGTTCACCCCGATAAAAACCCCGGGGATCCAAAAGCTGATGATAAATTTCATGTAAGCAATGGTTATCTTATTTCTAAGGCAGTGGTTCATCGTGACACAATATTTATCAACATCTAATTCTACAGTAATTTTTATCAACAATGTAATGGTAATTATATTCGGTGTTTGATTATATATGCATGAAGGAACTCTCTGAGGCTTACCAGGTTCTAAGCGATTCTTCAAAACGTGAACAATATGACAAACATGGAAAGGCAGGACTCCAACAGTAAGTTTATATCCTTTAATTGTGATTTTCAAAGTTATGTTCTTATAAAAAAAATGGGATCAATCCTTATTTGTTCCTTCAACATTACTTCATCTTCTTTTCGGCGACAGAGACTCCATGATGGATCCTGCAGCCGTGTTTGGAATGGCTTTCGGAAGTGAATACTTCGACGAATATGTCGGACAACTACAAATGGCTACTTTGGCATCCGTTGAACTTGAAGATACTTCACTAGATAGGGAAGCTCGTTTGCAAAGGCTTAAGGAAAAGCTTGCGGTAAAACCCTTTCAATGGGTTCCATTTTCTTCTCTACATGTGTTGCTTTTTCAAATTACACTTGTATTCCTGTTCCCCTGCAGGCATTGCAGAAAGAAAGGGAAGAAAGGCTTATCAAAACACTGAAAACCAGGCTTCAGCCGTACGTTGATGGTTATACCACTGAGTTCATTGATTGGGCGAATTCTGAAGCACAGCGACTTTCAAAAGCCGGTAAGCTTGTTACTTACTACCATTACATATTAACTATTTCCATTAACTTGTATTTTTCCACACTTCCAGCATTTGGTGAGCAAATGCTACAGACTATAGGATACATTTACACGAGGAAAGGTGCGAGTGAACTCGGCAAAGAAACGTATATGATGGTACCCTTTTTTGCTGAATGGGTGCGCGATAAAGGTCACCGTGTGATATCACAAGTAATTGCAGCCTCAGGTACAATGTTCTGCAATTTAAAGGTCATAGATCTTGTTTTGATGGCATTCAAGGCCTTTTTCCGTTATCGGACTTCTAAATTTTCGAACGAAAACAAGGCAAGTATGTGCATGTATATCTCCTTTTTGTAGGTGCTGTTAATTTAATTCAGATACAAGAAGAACTGAAGAAAGCGACACAAGGAGAACACGCAGAAGAAAACTTAATGAAAACCTTTGAAGATAAAAAGGATGCCATGCTTCAATCCCTCTGGAAGATCAATGTGGTTGATATTGAAACAACTTTATCTAATGTTTGCTTAGCAGTAAGTTGAAAACAATCTTCTTCCTTAACTTTATCCATGTAATTCATACAAAAAATCATTGCAAATTTTGGTATCTTTTCCTATTGATTTTTTTTATTCAGGCACTTGAAGACCCTGATGTACCCAAGGAAGTTCAGGTTTTACGAGCCAAAGGATTGAAAACACTTGGATCAATTTTTGAAGTACGAATTTCTCAAGAGTCTTGTAGTTCAGCTTGATTGAGTTTTGATTAGAAGATTATGAATAGTTGTCTGAGATAGTTGTAATTTATGTTCTTGGTTCATACTGGACTCTGTTCAACTTCCATCTTCAACCTCTAATACCATCAACCGATATTTCGACCTCATATCTTCCTTCATATCATGTGTTTTTCTTTGCAAACCTCCATCTTCATCTCGATACTCGATGGATATCCGCTTCTTTGCCGATACATGTGTTTTATCAGAACTTGGAAGTTGTTGGATTAATTTATTCTTGTACAATTATTCGAATTTTCTGACAAGTATGTTTCATTATTGAATTTCAAACAAGGATTTCACTGCAGGATTAACTTTTTTGTATGTGTACAAAGCTTATCTTCAACTAGATGAGATGATAATCAGATCAAAGGCACAACTGACACCTATATTCCTCTAAATCCCGTGTGCAAATCACTAATGCCAAGTTAAACAAGACATTATCATATGTCAAAATCTCTGGAAATTTGCTTGATTACAAGTGCTTCAACAAGCTTTTCACATGAAATAACATCATAAACATGTAATCTGATAAATACACTCAGACTCCATTAAAAGCAGCAGGCATGCCTATAGGATTATGTAAGTGGATGATGATGTATGCATTAACTTAACCTAATCCTACATTGCAAATGCTAATTCAAGCATATCCAATGATAAATACATATACACATGTATGTCTGTTATCTGTTAACTAATTATATTATTAAGGTACTTAATTGAGGGGTTATACATATCTTAAAATGTGAAGAACAATGAGAGTAATTAAAAAATGATTATACAATAATATTTGTATCGATTTCAAATCCGAGTCACTTAGGAAAAACAACATTCTCTACTACTGAAACCACTCTTTAGATTCTTATATTTTTTAACATAAATGATTAGATATAAATTAACAAAAGCTATGGATTTATAGCCGAGAAAGACAAAAATGAGTATTATGATGATGTTCACCAAATGTCACACTCTAATACAATACTGTCACCTTAATTAACTATATAATCCACTAAGTCATTAGATTAATAAGTGCACCAACAAAAGAACAGTGGACTCCTCTACCTTTTTTACGTACCATTCAAATATTTTATCTTAAAATGATGATTATCATTATTATTCACAATAAAATACAAATAATTTTTAACTCAATGCCCAGTGGCCACTCTCAGCCAGTGTAGAATTATTTGCAATATATATACATATAAGCTCTCATTTGCTTCATATTCTCTCTTGGGGTGAGAAAACAGCTTTGAAATGAAAAGAAATTGCTTAAACATGGAGAAAAAGAATATTGTTCTACTTTTCCTCATGGTTTCGGCTTTTCTTTTATCAACTTCAATGGCCGGTGAGCTCTTCAATATCTCCCTCTTTTCCTTTTCTTGAATCTGCTGCAAACTCATGCACGATTTGTCGACGAAATGTTGAAGCTCCTAGTGACGAAGAAGGAAACTGCAGCTTACTAATTAGTATAAAAGTAATTAACATACATATTTCGTCGCTTAAAACTAAAGAAAAATTAGTTCGTAAAATGGAGAAAAAAGGTTCATTTCTCTACATTCATTTTTTTTTTTTAATTTTCGGTCAAAACACGTTCATGTATAAAATTATGTTTAGACTTATAAAATTATAAGAGCGAAAATAAATTATTAATAAAAATATAAAAAAAAAATCTAATGTATATAATAATTAGAAATTTTTTAGAGACATCCATTCTATTAAGGTTTATATGATGAATATATATATATATATATATATATATATATTATACATGTATGTCACACTTTATCTTCCAACATTTATATGCTGAAAATCATCTTTTACAGGTCGACGACCCAAGGTCATAAACATGGCTGAGGAAATGAACGAAGGCTTTGAGGTACATATAAACATATACATATAGTTTAAGGTTAACGGTTTGGATTTAATATTGTAAATGGAGAAAAATAAATTAAAAGAGTTATTTTATAATAAATCTTTATAATATTAATCACTTCTATAAGAGTTATTTTCGCTTTGTTTTTCTTTGATGTTAATATGACGAGTTAGTCTTGCATCATCATGCAATAATTTATATTCGATGGTTTGGTATTATTAATAAAAATATTATTTTTTTGTTGTATGAAAAAAATAATAAATCAAATATTAATGACTATATAAATATAAAGTCTACCTATCAAGTAATTAAATAGAAAAACCCAAAGTTTTTACCTGTTAATATTATTAACTAACCCCGTATTTTGTTTTTCATTAAATTTAGTCCTTTACATATCTATTTTTTCTTACTTCATGCTTGGATGATTCATTTTATGATTTTTTTAAAAATATAATAAACAGGATGGTGATGAAGCAAGTGCAGTTCATGAAAGGGTGCTGAGAGCAAACACGAGAGACTATGGAAAATATGATCCAGCGCCAGCTCTTGTGAAGCCTCCTTTCAAGCTCATACCTAATTGATGCCTGCTTTGCATCCTATATATTTTACTTAATTATATCAACCATCTCATATATATATATATATATAACAGAAGAACACTAATGAACAGACCCAGAGATAAATTAAAGGGGCTGATAGGGGTGATTATTTTCTAAAATTTTTAAATTATCATATATTTTAGATACTTTTTCTATTGATAATTTGTTTTATCTCCTACAGTTTTATAAGCTTACTCCCAACATAAATTCTTACCTCTGCCTATGAATAGATCTATCATGGTTGTGTCATATTTATAATTATATATATATATATATATGCGTGAAATAAATATGGAACATATCTTTTACGGCTTACTACTTGGTCCCTATAAGATATATGAATTTTCAGTTTGGTTCTTTAAGAATTTCTTTTATCACTTTGCCTCTTATACATTTATTCCATCTATCTTGTACTCTATCACAAATTTTCGTTAAAGAAATTACGTGATCCAATCACATACAATAATGTATAATAAAAGTAATAAAATAATAGATGTGATTATTATTTGAATAACAATTTCTTGAATATCAATTTGAGAGTAAAATAATATTTATTCAAATCTTGACGTTTGTGAATAGAGGAAATTAGGTTAGAAGGATTACCTTCCTTTATATTTTTTTTAATTAATTAATCGATAGATCAAATACCGATGATTTAAAAAAAAACTTTGATATTTCATTTTTATGTATTGTACCACTTTGAGTCATTTTCCATTTGGTTTATTCCATCAAGAATTGCATAGTTAACTCCTTTTTGTTGTTCATCCAACATTTTTCGACCACCACCACAACCACATTGCAAACAAATAAATGCAAGTTTAACAAAAATTAATTCATCCCATATAATTTTGCGCCGTGTAAAGTAATTATTTACTGTCATAGTTCCTTGAACCAATTCACCTAGCTTCTTTCTTAGGTAAAAGATTCTTGATCCATTTGTTTGCTGAAAATGATATTCAAGATCCTTCCAATTATCAGCGGTTACTGAATGATACAAAAGACTAATAATAATATCTTTTGAAATTGAATTCAAGATTCAAGAATTGATAAGATTATTGACTTTTATCCACGCATCTGTTAGAGGTAAGATTCGATGAAAGAATAGATCAATCTAATTGTTAAAATTTTCAGTAGCAAGGGGCTGTGTGATACTAGGATTGCCAGAGTGTTCAAAATCGGTAGTATTTGCTCGTTAATTCTTTGATCTTCTGGATTTATTGTTGCTGATTTGGTTATGTTATGTTTGTTTTCGTGCATGGCCTTACTTTCCAGAATTAGTGGTAAAACGAGCACATTCTGTATTTTTTATTATTATTTGGTCACGGCTGGAGACATGAGCACGACTCTGGGCATGACACGGTCTGACGTGATAGTTTCTAGAAGGTCTAGTCAGCGGCAGTTTCTAGAAGATCTAGTCAGCTCGCCTTCTGGAAGATGGACGAGCAGAGTTGCATTAGGAGACTTGTTTAAAATTTGAATTTAGGAAAAACAATTATCTTTAAGATTATTTTATTTTAATTTCTTTGTCTATCTCTAAGTTTTTAGAGGCTATAAATACTCTCTTGGGGTAAGCCTAAACACACAACTAAGATTACAATCTTCTTCTTCTTTCTAGTTTTTATTAAAGCTTTCTCTTTTATTTTACTTTTTAAGTTCTCGTTTTTCCCTTTATTTTTAAGCTTTGTTTTTAAATATGCTAAGTATGACATTTGTCATGCTTAGCTAATTTTATCAAAAGCCGAGAGCTGAAGCGATGACTCAATTCCAATGAGAGAATTGAAACAAGCTCTTAATAACTTTGGAATATCTCTCTTAATCTCTACAGTTATTTTTCAAAATCAAAACAGTTTTCAAAATCAAAGATTGACCTTGGTCAAGAGTTTGTTGCGATTAAATGTGTTGGAGGAAGAATTGGCTTATTGAAAGCATATTCGACTTCCTGGGAACACACTCGGCGAGATAGTCTTGCCAAAAGGGAATTGAGATCGGAATTAGTGGTTATTGAAGCAACAATCTGAGTCGGTCTTCACGAACTTAAATGATAATTGATCTACAACAATTGATGTTGATTAGATCAGTTTCCGAAGTTGGAATCAAAGATTGTCTTGGGTATTCGGTATACAAAATAGAGTCACGGGGATTGCCTTTATAGACAAAGTAACCTACGTGAATCCCGAAGGGAAAATATAATTCGATGATCTAAAGAGAATTGAATCAAAGCGAGGCTTGAGGCTATTTTTACCATATTCAACTTTCAACGTTACACTCTTTATTTTCTTATTTTCACTTAAAACTGTCTTTATTTAATATTTTTTTTGCTTAGTTGCATTTTGTCAAACCCCTTACTACTTTTCGCCTGGTTAAAACAATTCAGACAAAAATTTAGAATATACTAAGTCCCTGTAAAATCGACCCTTACTTCTCTATATTACGTATTTTCTTTATTTATTAATTAAGAAGAATGAATTTATTTGACATCAAAACGACAGTTATCAATGGTACATATAGTAGGGACTGTTACCATGATCGAATTGATCATTGATCTCAATTGGAGCTAAAAGATATTTAGTATAAAAAAAACAGAGAGACGAAGGAAGCAAAGAGAAAAACTTTTGATATCATGTAACAACAGAGGAGTAAAGAATATTTTCTTATTGTCAAGACTTGAAAGATTACAAAGTTGATAAGAAGGTGATCTCTTTAATGATGCAAGAACAACTTTTATAAACAAACTGAGTAAACAATAATGTAACCGAATCTTACCTAACTATAACATTCACTAACTATACTAGTAAGCTTAATAGAAGAATTTGTTTTATTTATATCGCTTTAGCCTTTTGTTATTCTATTCTACCATATTTATTTTGTAAAAAAATCTTCTATTATATGTATATATATTCTAATTTTATGCAATTTTAGATTAAAAAATATTTTTTTAAAAAATTATTTGATATACGGATTGTATTAAAGTGTGTACAAGCATGTTTATTTTAATTTTTAATGACATGTAGCTTATTTAGTGTTTTAGATTAAAATCAAGAATTTAGAGTTTAAAATTAAATAAAATATAAAATTAAAACTAAGGAAAAAAATAGAACTTCGAAATCTTATAAAATAACGTAAAAAATTATAAAATAAAGTCATTTTATTAAAATAGAGTTAATTTATAATAAAAAAACTAACAACAAAACGGAATAGAAAGAACATTTAAAAAGTCTAAGAAACTTAACTGGATTGAATCTGCCTCATCCCTAATGTAGATCAAACCCGTTTAATTGATATAGTAATTAATATTATAATTTAATTTTAGATACAAATTATCGGTTAAACTGTATTAAAAGGTGAAAGAGTAAAGAAGCCATGCTAAGGCTCACTTCCCAAACACACTAACCACAAAGCAAAGAAAACAAAAAGGAAAGTGAAAACGTCAACAGAAGCCAAACCAAACAAAGCATTCTTTAAAGCAAAAAGAAACCGGCCATCCTATTTCTTGCACACCAGCTTCAGCTTGAGACTTTAAACGTTCAGGGGAAAAAAAAAACTAAAATTAGTATAAATTATACGTCTACTATCTTAATTATCATTTTTATTTTACTTTAGTCACCCGACTATTATTTCTTAAATCGTATCTAACGTTACGTTTTAATTTTATTTCTGCCACTCATCGTTAAAAAATTAACACAGTTGATGATGTGGCAATTTTAAAAAATTTTAATATGACATGATATTACCTTATGGTGACATGTTAGCATCATCATTAATTTTTTAACAGTGAGTAGGGGTGCACAAAAAATCCGAATATCCGATTTTACGAAAAAAATATCTGAAACCGGATTTGGGAAAAACCGGTTTTTTTTAACCGGATCGGATTTTTTTTAAACCGGTTATTTTAACCGGTTTGGAGAAAAAAACCTAGACCGGTTTTTTTACCGGATAAAAAACCGGTTAAAAAACCAGTTTTTATCCGGAAAAAAAAAACCGGTATGGGTTTAAAAAACTAACTGTTAATATAGCTGTTGGGAGGGTTTTGTGACCGTTTTTGACCATTTTTTTCTTTAAAAAATTACCATTTTACCACCCTAAACATGTATAAATAGGTTGGGGATGTATTTGGTTGATTACAAATTTCTCAAATCTTATTACACAACACTTAAACATCTCTCAAATCTTACTTTTGTAATTTTTTTGTTCATCATGAGTAACACGGCTGAATCTTCCGTCGGGGGGAAACCTTGAAGTCGTGAGAGTGATCGAACACACTCGAAACAAAGACATTTGGGATCACTACGATTTATGTAAGATGTCAAATGGCTCGAGGAGGGCGCGTTGTAAACTTTGTCTAAAGTTTCTTGCATCGGAAGGAAACACAACGTTGAAGAACCATTTGACAAAATCATGCAAGGCACTTCGCTCAAGATCAGATCCTAGTCAATCGAATCTTACACCGCAAGGTGGTGTTTTTGTTTACGACAACGAAAAATTACGAGAAGCGTTTACAAAGTTCGTGATTACAAAAGCATTGTCGTTCGACCACTTTGATGATGAAGATTTCACGATAACAATTCAACAACTAATGCAACCACGTTATACTCAAGTAAGTCGTACTACCCTTAGAAGAGATGCTATAAAAATGTGGCGTACGGCGAGGGAAAAAATGATTTTAGGATTCCAAGAACACCGTTATGGTGTGTCGCTTACATGTGACGTTTGGAGTTCCCCTCATAATACCGGAAATTCTTTTTTAGCCGTTACGTCACATTGGTTAGATCAAGATAATTGGCAAATGATGAAAAGAACAATCGCGTTTGAATTATTCGGTGAGCCGCATACCGGTGCTAATTTATTTACACTTTTAAAAAGGGTAATTTGTCTTTATAAATTAGAAAATAAAGTTTTTTTCTATATCCTTTGATAATGCATCGAATAATACAAACGCGGTTCCAAGATTGAAAATATTACTTTCACCGATTTTAGACGGTGCGTTTTTTCATACCCGTTGCGTTGCACACATAATTAATTTATCCGTGCAAGCCGGTTTGGAGGTTATTGAGCCGATTAGATTAGAATTTAAAACAATGATAAAATCGGTTCTTTGTAACAACAACAAAAGACTAAATGATTATAAACGATTTTGTAAGTCTGTTAATAAAAAAGCTTTGGGTCCTAATTTGGATTGTCCAACTCGTTGGAACTCAACTTGGATGATGATGCATACTGCCTTAAGGCAAAGGGAAACATTGCAAACATTTCACGATCGGCTTTTCGAGAGGGGTCATGTCCCAAACATTTATCCGGATTCGAGTTGGGAAACTATAGCCAAAATAACCGATTTGCTTGAGGTTTTTAAAAATGCAACAACTTTTTTATCTGGTGTTTATTACCCTACTAGCCCGTTGGTTCTTAATCAAATATTTTTGTTGGCTACCCGACTAAATGACTTTGAATTTGAAACCGAAGTTTTTCAAGAAATTGGCTTTGCAATGAAGGAAAAACTTTTAAAATATTTTAAGGAGATTCCCCCCATTTTTACTTGTGCCGCCGCTTTAAACCCAACGTTAAATGTTGGTGGGGTTGAAACACTAATTGAACAAATTGCGTTTGCTTTTAATCTAACCGATGATGAACCCAACTTTGTCCAAAACCAAATAAATTATTTTAACAAATGTTTTCGAGACATGTTTGCAATTTATTTAACTAAATACGGATCAGTAGTGTAATACACGATCAAATGAGAATGAATGCGGAATCATCTAGTAGACGTCCAAGTAACATAAATTTGAATCTTTTTAACACTCTTGTAAATTCCCAATCCAAACGATCACGTACTACCACCCCAAGTAGCGAGTTGGGAAATTACATGTCATGCGATTTTCTATCAAAAATGACATTTGAAGAGTTTGAAAGTTTAGATATTTTGGCTTGGTGGAAAGAAAAGGAAGCACAATTTCCGATTCTAGCCGCCATGGCCCGTGATTTACTAACCGTCCAAGCTTCTACGGTAGCTTCGGAATCCGCTTTTTCTGTTAGTGGCAGGGTTATCGCAACGGAGATCAAGACTAAGTCCCGAGTCGGTGGAAGTATGCATTTGTTTAAAGGATTATTTGGATGGAGCGGCTCGTAAGCAACATATCACCACCCTAGAAGATGCAAATTGATACCGATTTGGAAGCAAACTTACACATTGAAGAAGTTGAACTTGGAATATCCCCTCCAAACGAAGAAGGCGAAGATGATGAAGAAGAGATGGCAATGTAGTTTATTTTATAACTTTATTTCAATTATCGTAAACTTTGTTTCAATTATCGAACTTGAAGTTTTTAAGTATTTGAATTTATCGAACTTGGAAGTTTTTAAGTTTTTGAATTTATCAAACTTGGAAGTATTTAAGTATTTCAATTATGTTGAGTTAATTAAATATTTCAATTAAGTATTTGAATTTATTGAATTTGAGGTTTGATGCTTTCTCTTTGATTCTCTCTTGATTCTAGTTGCTTGATGTTTCTTGTCTTTGATCAATGGCTTCTAAGCTAGCTTAAATACACCTTGAATCACTTCTGAACGTTAGTGATAATTAATGAAGATAATATAGCCGTTTAAGTGTGAAAACATTTAATAAAAATGCTTGGAGCGTGGGGGAATCGGTACCCTCTCATAGGGAATCGGTTTCCTCTCATAGGGAATCGGTTCCCTAAGTGTAAAATTCAAATATTTCGACCGTTGAATAGGGGGGAATCGGTACCCCCTATGGGGGAATCGGTTCCCTCCGAGCATTCTGGAAATCTCGGAGCCAAACCATTCAGTGAGGAATCGGTATCCCCTTGGGGGGGAATCGATTCCCTATGAGCAATCTGGAATATTAAAATCGGTTTTTTTATAACCGGTTTTTTAAAAAAACTGGTTTTTTTAAAACCGAAACCGGTTACACCGGTTAGGATATCCGGCCCTCCAAACCGGTTAAAAACCGAACCGGTTATTTTATAAACCGGGTTTTTTTTCTATGAGAAAAAATCGGATCGGATAAAAACCGATCCGGATCGGATTGAAATCCGACAAATGTTCATCTCTAACCGTGAGTGATCAAAATGAAACCAAAACGTAACATTAAGTATGATTTTAAAACAAAAAAATAGTGACGAAAACGGAACAAAAATTATAGTTAAGGTATTAAATATATAGTTTACCCTTAAAATTATAATACTAATTTCCAGTTTAACCCTAAGACATTAATTAAAATTATTTTTAATATTAATCGGGTTTAAGGTTGAATGAATCTCATAGGTTCAATGTCCATACATGGTAAAAGAATCACGACCAATTAAATTAGGATATGCATTATAATCTTATTAATTGTCATTGAAATTGAGGTCTAAACATTATGATTAGATATTGTCAGTCATTGATTTATTTTAAAAAATATTCAAAAGGATATACATGTTTTGCACGAATAAAGTGACATATGTCGTAAAGGGATTGTTATTATTTTTTGAGGATTTGGATTCGAACACCGTAGATGTCAGGAATGTGAATGCTCAATGTCGAAAAATTGAGAGTTACCTTTAAAGATATATTACCTTATATTTACCCTAGATTAATAATATATATAAGTTCTACAATAAAATATAAAAACGGAAACGATTGATCCTCTAAATTTCAAGTCTAAATCCTCTAATTTAATATTATTCGGGAAAAAATAAAATTGGAAGAATGAACTAACAAGCTTAATATATTTCTTAAAATGCAGAAAAATATATAGATATTAAAATAATTAGTAAAATCTATTTAAAATACACTACTCCTTCAAATAAGGTATTCTACTTATAGCATAAAAAAATGTGGTAAAAATTACCCTCATCAGAGAGCAAAGGTACCTGCAAAAGTCCAATATAGATTCGTCTATCAATATTCTTTATAACAATTATCTCTGAAATCATAAAAATATATACGCATGTATTTAGAAAAAATAATAGTCTGATTTATTTAAAATGCATAATTATTACGGAAACCCAAAATATGCACTAAAAAAATTAAAGCAAAATTATGTCTTTTTTAAAACATGTAATACAATCGTGCATTCATGGGATCGAGTTTCACGGAGGACATTTCATAATTTGGAGGTCTTCTACGGAAGCTGCTCTCAATCTGGTATTAGGGACAGTTTACTATCTTACCTCCCCTTACCCCATTATATATGGGAACAAGGGACAGCCATTCATGGCTATCCAAATAAATAAAAGAAAGCGAGAACGTAAGACTAACAAAAACGCATTTAAAGTCGCCTGAAAAATATGATAGAAGTATTTTTTGAATTAAAATATTGTGCAGATCTACTGAACGAGATCTGCTGAATCTGATCCATACTCAATCGTGAAACACGATTGAGTTACCATTTGAATACTTATCTTTATAATAAACCTATCTACCATTGCGATAAAAAAGAAAGAAAGAAGAAAATCATCATTTCTTTTTCTTTCAGCATCGGTTCCTTGTTTGCACGGTTGGGTTCAGCATATCAGGGGCGTAATCTCTACTAAAGGTGAAAATTCAACAGTAATCCTCTACTGAAGAAGACTAGAACCAAAATGATATACCCATTGTCTGCCTTTTCTGTCTTTATATTGTTTCTTCGTTGGCCGCAATTGACAGACCATATACTCTCTTAATCTTTCAATTAATCTCTCTTCCTCCAGACATGGATGAAAGTTTGATGACAGCTGCTCGAACCGGAAATGTAGGTAATTTGTACAGGTTAATTCGGGAAGACGGGAATGCTTTGAGGCGATTCGAGGATGTGGAGTTTGTGGACACCCCTTTACACATTGCTGCAGAACAAGGTTGCATTCGGTTCGCGATGGAGATAATGAACCTGAAGCCATCATTTGCTCGAAAACTGAACCAAGATGGCTTGAGCCCGATGCACCTCGCAATTAAAAAAGGGCATAAAGAGATGGCGTTACGTTTCATGGAAATGGATAAAGATGTTGTTCGTGTCAAGGGGAAGAGTGGTAAGACTCCTTTGCACTTGATAAGTAAATTTGGAAACCACGATGGTCTGTTGGATAGATTTCTAGAGGTTTGCCCTGAATGTGTTCTAGACGTTACCACTAAGAACCGCACTGCTTTGCATATTGCAACCAAATACAAGAGACTGGACGTTCTTCAAGTCCTAATCCGAATGCTTCGCAAGAAAAACAAAGACTATTACCGGGAAGTGGTGAGCCGGAAAGACGAAGAAGGCAATACTGCGTTGCACACAGCTGCCAACACTAATCAGCCTCAGGTTTGTTGACTTATCTACTTTTTTAATTAATATTACATAGATTCTTTTGTACCAAATTGACATTTTAACTGACTGTAGCTTTTTTTATTATCTCAAACTATCATTTAAGCAGATGTTGAGATTACTATTAGACTGCAAGGCTGATAAGCATGCCACCAATCAGGCTGGTTGGACGGCACTGGATGTTGCAATAGGGCAAAATAACAGGGAAATTATCAGTATTTTGCGCGGTTGCTGTATTCCAAGAGTTTCAAACTTCAAATATAAGGTGGAGAAACTAATCGCCAAGTATCTAACGAAGGCATCGTCACTAATATTTTCGGATATGGATAATATATCAGGCGAAGACCGCAATTCTTTACTAGTAATTTTAGGATTACTTCTTACAGTAACTTTTCAAGCAGCTCTTAGCCCGCCCGGTGGTGTCTGGCAGGGCGAAAGTTCCACAAAGCACGACTTTGGGGAATCAGTCTTGGATTCATTCAGTTTTCTTCTTTTCTATATTCCGACCTATGTGGTGTTCATAGTAACGTTTTTCCTAAAACTAGCACTGCTCAAACCTTTTCCCAACGGTTTCAGGACAGCAGTTGAAGTACTACTCGCTTTTCTTGCAATATGCTTTCACCTATCAGTAATTATCATAGCCCCAGCCTCAACAAATGTGGTTATGGAATTCTTATCAGCAATTGTTTTCATTTTAATGCTGTTCATGTGTATCACATACGAGGTGTCAAAGCTCAGCGTTTCAATCGTGGGATGTTCGATATACGTTGTAATTTTTCTTAATTTGGGTTCTTTAGAAGGTCGAATGGTTGGAAGTGTAATTCTGGGATTGATTTTGTTCCTTTTTTTGTTTGATAACTTCTGGAAAGGAACCATTTTAGCTGTAGGTTTTAGTCTTTTTTATAGTACTGGTGATTTTGGCATCTTAAATGGCCATTATATAACCATAGGAAGTTGGTTTTTCTTTTATCTATGTCGAGTCTGCATAAAGCGATGTAATGGCGCCAATTTTTCTTTTAATTGCCTTCATTAGATAAATTAAGCCAATTTATTTTGCATCTATCCTCCTCCTTGTCCACGTTTACTTATAATTTGAACCATACATAAATAGTTTATTTAAAAAAAATAACTGTGTTCATTAGATAATCAAGTAAAATTTGTTTCCAAAACAAAAAGAAATTTCAGTAAAATCTGCAGGAATGGTTGTTTGCATTTACTTCTGGAATCTTTTAGTTTAAGGTAACTGTGTTCATTAGATAATTAAGTAAAAATTGAAGCGAGTCATAAGAGTTCAACGAATTAGTCAAAGAACACCGAACTCATTCAATTATTAGTCAAATTACCAGTGGGTCATAATTTTTAAAAAATTAATTTAGTTATTTAATTAAAATATTATTATAAACATAAGTGAACAGTTAAATATTAAACAAAAGTTTAAGGAATACGATATAATAATATTTTTAATCCTAAAAAATTAAGTGGTATGCTATAATGATTTAATAAATTTAGCCTTTCATATTTAAAAATACTATCAATTTAGTCGTTATTTTTCTCTTAAATTATTTTTTCTTTATTGTTCAGCATCATCCCTACTTAGACACTCTCATTGACAGATGAGTTTAGAGCGCATGTCATATACCAAAGCACACCACTAATGTGACACGCCGATACACACTACTAATTAAATTGTCCTTATTAGATAAATATAAAAAAAAGTATAATGGTCTATCAACAATTAATCCTTTGTTATTTTTTTAGTTAAATTTTAATAGGAATATAATTACACTATATTTTTATTAAAAATTCTAATTGTTTTAGGAATTTTTTTTGTTTAGGATTGATACACTTAATTTATTTAAGTTTGCAAAATCATCCCAACAGTTACTATCAAAATCAACCGCCGACAACCCTAGTCATCATCAAAAAAAAAAGTGTGTTCTTCAACATATAATCGCTATAACAATCAAAATGCATTACATATTCATTTATTAAACACAAACAAAACATTACCATAAAACTCATATCTTATGGAACCTATTAAGTTTTTGAGTAACGGTGTTCAAATTTCGATTTTAACCGATGTAATCAACTGAATTTAAGTTTTTTTGGTTAATCGGTAGGTTAATTTAAGTTCGGTCGGTTAACGGTTAATATTTTTTTTAAAACTTTGGTTATCGGTTAATTCGGTTCGAACTTGTTAGTTAACCGAATCAATAGAAATTATTAAATGTTAATATATTAGCCTTAGAAGTGTTTAAACTTCGGTTTTAACTGATTTAACCGGTCAAATTAACCGAAAAATATTAAATATTAAATATATATTATTTATAAATTTCGGTTACTCGATTGAATTAACCAAACTTTGTTCGGCTCGATTAATTTTTTTTGAAAAAAAAATCAATTCAGTTAATGATTAAAAGAAAAATGTTCGATTAAAAAATTTTAAGGTAGTCTGGTTCGATCAATTAACCGAACTGACCGATCGAACATCCTTATTTTTAGTTGCATTTGTAAGAAAACGTGAATGAGACAAATCAAAAACTTAAAGCTAAAGGAATACAACGCGCAACAAATGAAGAATTTAATAAAAAAACAACCTTGAGGTTAATGAGTCTATGAAAATCTTCAATTCTAATGCCAATTTTTGGAAGAAAAAAAACGAAGTTAAATAATAATGTTTATGTTTTGATTTCAATAATATGGGAAAATAGATATATTTATATCAAACGCTGTTGTAAATCCGTTTAAAATACCTTTGTTGAAAACAAAAGAATATATCCATGTCTTAAGTCGAAGTTGTCACCACTATATATCGAAGAACGTCATTTGCTGACAATGAATAGAGTTGTCGACAGTTAATTTTGATCGTTGTTGCTTGGATTATTTTATAAACTTAAATAAATTAATTATTCCAATCCTAAACAAATAATTTTTTTAATAATTATACATTTTTAATAAAAAATATAATTTAATTATATTCCTATTAAAAATAAAATAAAATATTAATAAAAGATTAATTATGGATAGATCATTATATTTTTTCCTATTTACTTAAAAATGACAGTTTAGCTAGTGAAGTGTTTCAATGTGTTACATTAGTAGTATATTTCGACGTGCGACGTTAACTGTAGAATTTTCCTATATATGAATCTTAAGAAATATACAATATATATACAAAAAGATTATAATTATAAAAACAAGTTTATATGTTATTTAGTTTTATAATAATTGTAACATTTTCGAATTCACAAATCAGATTTTTGGAATAAAAAATATTCTATAAAGATTAAAATATTAATTCAAAGTGTTGAGAAGTGTATTATATTTTTGTCCCTTCTTTTATGTGATGAGATCTGGACAGGAACCAGTTTGGTTGTAAGTTAGAGTTTATTTGTTAGTTTAAATCTTTGGTTGACCATAGTCACAATAACAATTGTTACATTAACAGGATGTAACATCTTGATTTTTCAAATTGGCAATTAAATCCATTTATTTTGTATCTATTTATAGTATGCCAATCTAACATATCTCTTTAATTTTCTTTTTCCGGTTACAAGAAAGATAAAAAGAGGAACTAAACTAGATCATGCACAGAGTGATTAAAGGAATTATAGTTGTTCTTAGAGGTTATGGGTTCGAGCACCAACGACTGTAAAGGTGATTGAATATTCATTGTCAAATGATTAAGAATACTTAGAACAAATACTACTTTGTAATCACATTTAGCTTAATAAAAAAAAACTAAACTAGGTTATGCACAGAGTGATTCACAATTTCAAATCCATTCATAGTAAATGATAGAAGCAGAGGAAGAGGATGCTCCATTATTATTAATCCCACTCGATTATCTCTGCTAAGTCTGTCCATACTATTGACTGATTTTTTAGCAGTGTAAGGTAATTACAATAATAATATTATTTAAAAAATTTCTTCACTATTAATAATATATACATACATACACTGTAATCTGTAAATACAATTGTTTAAACTCAAATACCTTAAAAAAGAATAATATTTTCTTTATCAAAAATCCACACCACCTATCTAAGGTACACAAATGCGACGAACAAGAGATAAATCTTGCCCTTGTCGAATATCATTAATAAGTTATACCGTTATGAACACGTCTCCTTTATTACTTTCCATTGGATGGGTTTATTTTACGTATATTTTGAATAATATGTAAATTATTTATTTCAGTAATTTTTTTTAATAAAAACTAATAAATTTTAACTAAAAATAATTGTTAGATGTATTAAATAAGGAAGAAATATTTAAATTTATAAAGAGAGTTTACAAAAATAAAAGTAAATAATTCATATAAGTCAAATATTTTTCTTAAATTTATCGGAATCTACAAACTAATAAAAATAAAAAGAAATAATCATACAAGAAAAATGTTAAAAGCTCAATTAAATAAATTGAAAAAAATGATAGATTCATATAAATATCATTGTCGACGATGAAGGATAAACACCATCAACACTAATATAAAAATGCATATAACAATGTTGTCTCGTTAATAAATTGACATTGTTGAAGAATCGAAAAAAAAAACGAAAGAACACAAGAATTTTAACGAGGTTCGGTAATGTGCTTACGTCCTCTGTGCCTAGGCGGCGCTAGAAGTTTTATTCAATGCCTCATAGGTTTAAGTTACATCTCTATTTATAATAAAAAAAAACTGGTACATAATTACATAATTAACCTTATACCTAACTTACAAAGAGTGTACTACAATAGCAGACAAAATCATCCACCAATTTTCACTGTAGTATTTAATTTTTTTTATTTAAATAAATTTGCGTACATCTTATAGACAATAATATTATTCAAATCCTCGTAACTAAAAAAAATATAATCTTATATAAATTAAGATAACTTTTTATTTCATTTATAAAATTAAAAGAATTTTATAATTATCATATCATTTATAAAATATATATTATAAGTTGCAATCATCACGTCAACCAAAAGAGGAATTAAGAAAGAAATTCCAATAGAATCACATGCTTTGTGAGAGACAAATTAAAAGTTCCATATTTTGGAGTAGACCTATGCGAATTGTGTTATTGGTAAAAATAAATAAATTTGGTTTCATCGATGGCGATTATAAAAAAGAGAATTATCCAGAAATCTTTCTTTAGTAATGGGAAGTAATGTGATTGTTCTATCCTGGATCTTGAATACGGCGTGCAAAGAAATTTCGTTCGGAATTTTATTTTCTTTCAATGCGACGCTTTTTTGGCAAGGCTCGAAGGAGAGATCCGACAAAGTTGACGGTTCTAGGATTTATTTCCTTCATCGGGAGATAGCTTTGATGAACCAAGGAGATGTGATTGTATCAACTTATTTCATTCGTTTGAAGCTATTGTGAAACCAGTACAATACATTAGTTACCCTCGCGACATGTGATGCAAAATTTCTCAACGAACTTCCCACCGTCTAGCTCAACAAAATTTGTTTTAATTTCTAATTGGTCTTAATGAGACTTATGTGGTAGTGCGAAGTTAGATCCTCCTAATGCAACCTCTTCCATCAGTTAACCACGAGTACTCTATGGTGGTGCTGGAGGAATCACAACGAGTCCACCTGTCCAGAACTTCTTCATTCATAGAGGCAACTACTATTTATTCCAAAACACGATCACATGAGACGGATGCAAATATGGCAATTATGGTTGCTGGATGTTCACCTTATTCTAGTGGTTCCCTTCAATGAATTTTGGACACATGAACTACAGATCGTATTTTATTTTACCATGATTTTTGCATTTTACAGGATCTTTCAAATGGAAGGATGAATGAGACTGGTAAAGAGTCTCACGAGCTTTAGTTCTTTTAGTCTTCTAGTTTTGTTGGTGGTTTGTCTTCTTCGATTCACTGTACTCTTGTTCCACCAACATCCTCTGTTTCATTTGATACATATGGACATGTTTCAGGACGTCTTAGTTTGTTTGATCAATCAATTGTATATGCATCAGCAACTTGCTTGTCTTCTTCTTATGCTATTAATAATACTAAAATTCTCGTCTAGGACATATTGTAATAAATAATATGCATCGACTTCCCTTTTTATAGTCTATTAAATTGCATGATGAAAGTATACATAATTGCACTATTTATCCTTTAGCAAAACAGTCTAGACTCCATGTTCCTCTTAGTTCTTCTAGATCAGACAAACCATTCCAATTAATACACATTGATCTATGCGGTTTTTATCAAATATCTTCACGTCATAGATCCTTCCTCACAATAGTGATGATTTTACTCGTATGTGTTGGTTGTACTTGTTGTTTTATATTTCTCAAACGATTTTTTGTCCAAGTAAAAAATTCATTTTTCTACATCTATCAATTCATTAAGAGTGATAGTGGCTCTGAGTTTTCTTAACTCTAAATATTCCATTTTGTTTCTTCTCCTGGTGTCATCTACTAGAGTTTTTGCGTTCGTACTCCACAATAAATTCAATAAATTGGAGTGACCAATAGAAAACATAAATATCTTTTAGAAATGATACAAAAAAATATGTATAACAAAAATGTTTTATTGGCAAACTAGCATTATCACAACTCATTTATGACATTTTTGGTGGATGCGAATGTCTATCAATATTCAACCCTAAAGTCCAAAGCTGAAGTAGATCAATTAGATAATCAGATAAACGTCATTAGCATCTGGAGATACGATATCAAATCTGATCTTCAAAAAAAAATAGCTACACTAACATACAATGAACGTGTGTTACAAGAACATGCAAAATCATCTGCCAATTTTTATTGTAATTTATTAGAATATTTATTTATTTTTTACTCGGATAAACTCATATATTTCATACATAATAATGCTATTCAAATCCAAATCACTAAAAAAAACATATAATTCTATATTAAGTAAGATAATTTTTTTAATCCATTTATAAAATTAAAAGAATTTCATTATTATCACATCACTTATAGAAGATATAGTATAAGGTGCAATCATCATGTCAACCAAAAGAGAAATTCGAATTTACTTTAAGAAAGAAATTCCAAAAGAATCACATGATTTGCCAGAGCAAATTAAAAGTTTCAATATTTTGGGCTCCCAAAACGGGAAGCTGCCCCAATTGCTTAAATTTGGTCCACAAAACCCATCAAATTAACCCACTTATGACGGTCTTAGTTTACAAACAAAAAAACATTATTTGATTTCACCTTATCTCATCTGATTTTGATGTTCTAATTGTCATCTCTCAGCCTCGATCTAAGTCTAAGAGCCCCACACGCCATGCTGTCTTTTAATTTATTTATAAGGTTAAAAACACCTCGTATAAAAAATGAGCTAAATAAGACATTAATTAAGATAAACTAAAAAATTAAAATAATTAAGTAATTATTTAACAACTTATGGAATTAAATAAGATTTGCTTTTTAATCTATAAAATACAATTTAATAATAATGAATAATCTTTTTAGTTGAGAAAATAATTAAATAAAAAATAAATCATGATAATACTTTTGATTTTGTATGATGTGAAAAAACAAGAGGATGCGTATTATGCGCTCTGCGTACTTATAAGAGATCACTCGTGTCCATTTGTTAGCTCTATTTCTACAATGCTACTTTTCATTTTTTTTTTCTCAAAAAAGTATATATAATTTTTCTCAGATTAACCGCATAAATTATGAATTTGCTCTCTGTAAAAAATTATTAAATTAACCAGGTGGAAGCTAGTGTAAGCAGGGAATCAGAATCACTTGCTACCAAAGTATAATTAAGTTCACCATTAATTCCGTCCAAAAGGGTTTAACGGCTGATAAATGGGAAAGACTTTAAAACGAGTTGGTTTAGTTATGATTTTTATCCCTTTATCATACTAAAACTTGTGATTTTATCTTTCAATGTCTACTTTAATTTGTTTTTTTTCTATTTTTATGATTTTATTAATAAATTAAAATTGGTATTAATGTTAATTATTTCTTCTAATTTTAATAATATCAACTAATAATAATATTATGATGTTAAATTAAAGTAGAAGAATTAGATTCCAAATTTTAGTAATAGTATAGGGACTAAAATTAAAATTAAAATTAGAATTAAAATTAGATTCCTATTTTCCTCTTTCTCCTATATATATATATAAAAATGGATAGAAGTACTTAAAGGAAGCACAAGCTGCCTTATATTAAAACACCGCTTTCTTTCTATTTACAAATACGCCGCTGCCTATCGGAGCTCAGTCAGGTACAGTTCGGTTTCCTCCTATTCCGATGTGGAAGAGATGTTTTATTGTCCGGCTACCTAAAGCACCGCAAGAATCTAGTATTATTTATTAAAAAATTATTTTTTCTTCTTTTATTTTTTGCTCCTTTAATATAGATGTTTTAGATTTTGATTTAATTTGTGATTTTTTCTGTGGTTATATCTTGACTTGGACTGGGAGTTTCTGTTACTTTGGCATTTATTTCGGATCTCTTCTTCACCTTTAAAGTGATTTCGATTTTGTTCGTTTTACTATATTTAGGGTTTTTATTTTTTCCCAATTAATGATAGTAATTATTGATATTTTGTTTTGTAATTGAATCCACTCTTATTTAGTCCCTAGAAACAAGCTAATTGCTCGATGCTTGGTTTTTCCCGACTTTTTAAAGTATTTCGGTAAATTGTTTCTATTTTATTTATTTTTTGCTTTCTCTTGAGTTCTGAGTGAGTTGGTGGGCGTACTATGAGTGTTCTTCTGATCTCTTTCACTTTGTCTCTCAACTTATTAGCTGTTAACTGATTGAAGTTCACTTTACTATCAATAACGGTAATTGTGTTCTTTTTCTTCAAGAAAAAAAAGGGAAAGTGTTTTTAGTTATTTTCGTTGGTTTAGACTTCCTTTTTGGTGGGTGTTCTGGTTAATTTCAGCTTCGCTTTTTTCTATTCCTTCTGTTTTAACATCTAATTCAACTTTAATTAAAGATTAGATAGATTGGGGGTTTAAAATCAGATGCAATGAATTTTAGTAGCATTTTAATCTAACAATAGCCACGTTGATGTTCTATTTTGTTTTTTGGTGTTAGTAATTGAAGGTGTATGAAGCAGGTGGTTTTCCTTCTACAGTACCGCTGATGCTAATATCGGTTGAGTTCGTGTTTTGGATAATGTGAATAATGGTTGTTTGAATACTGTTAGAGAATTAGTTTGTATTGTATTGGATCATGGGGGCTGCTTGTTGTGTTGCTGCTAGAGATAAAACTATCGTAAATGGGTCAGGTAGCGATGTTCTGCATAGGAATATAAGGTATTCACCGACATGGAGTTTCCGTTGGGATAACCGAGGGCGCGTAGCCGGTGAAGACACTTCTATAAGTTGGTTCTCAGATGCAGTAAGTCGGAATGATGGATCAGAGATCAAATATGAATCTGTATGTGCATCTGAGGATGGAATTTCGTCCGAGAGTTTTCAGTCTCGTACGTGGCAAAAGTCCCCAATTTCAGAAGAAACTGCTGGGCATGTGAGAACTCCTGCTTCAGGTAAACTATTGGGATGCTGGTCTTAGTGTGAATTTATGGAATTTGGGAATGTTGAAGTTAATTTTGAATGTTAAACTACTGGGATGCTGGTCTTAGTGTAAACAAAGAAAGTTGCTTCTGAGTTCTGAACAAAAGTCTGAAAAGTGACAAGCTCAAGCCCTTATAAGTCATGGAAGGAGATGTAATGTATAAATTTATTTAAAAAGTGAATTTTATGTTTCCCACTTTTCCTTCTCAAAATGCAGATCATTTTCCGTAATTTACTAGGTTACTTCATTTGGTAAGATCTTGAAAACCAATTTTAGAGGAGTTACATGCATAACTGGATTAGCTTTGGCCCTTGGTTGGACAGTGGTCAATTTTGCAAGACCATTCTTCTGGCCTTTGTTTTTCCACCTTATATGAATTATGCGAGTAGTGTGTCAATACTTCATTTTGGTCTTCTTTTATTTGGTTGGGGGGTGTTCATGTGGACTTTTGTAAAGGATGGATGCAATACAATTTTCCAACATTTCTATTAACAGGATATGTATGGAGTCTAGAGGGTCTTCTTTTATTTTTGGGTAGAGGGTGGAGAGCAATTGAACTGAGATTTTCTCACTTGTCTCCTTGTTTTCATTCATGGGAAAAAAGTCATTTTTAAAATGTTGGTCTTGCCATTCTATCATAAGGTTGGTTAAGAAAGGTCCCCTTGGAATCGTTCTATATAACATTCTTTTACATTTATTGTGCAGATCAATCTATTTCAAGGAATATCTCCATTGATGTGAACTCAGAGCAGGTAAAACTCTTTTCCCCCAAGAGGCAGTTTCAGGCATCTCCTTCATATCACATTGTTTTGAGAAATATGGATTGTGTTTCAGGCGAAGGAGTCAGTAGAATCCCCTGCGGCCTCTTACTCATCTCCTTCTAAGTTATCACTTTCGTTGCCATCAGCTTCCTCCTTAGCAACATCCCCTATGTCTTCGCAGAGTCATGTCTATCCTACCAGTTCAACAATAACAAAGTGGCCTCTCAAGACTCCCGGACATCATCTATTGAGTCAAGTATCTGATAACCGAATTCTGCGATTAAAGTCACCTAATAGATACCTGGTTGGTGAGGAAAGGCTTGTAATGCCTTCATGGAGCAATGAATCAAATGGGGGCTCTTGCGGTGGTTCTTCTGATGGTTGGTCTATGCATGCCTTTCCTGAACTTCCTACATCTCGTAGGGAGAGGTGGTCTTTTGATAACGACACATGGAGTTTTCATCGTGAGAGAATAAGTAAATGCAGTGGCCGAACCTCGGCATCAGCTTCTGTTGATCTGCAAACATGTGGTGTTTGCTCGAAGCTGTTATCAGAAAAATCTTTGTGGAGCACTCAGAAGATTATCATTGGCAATGATCTTTCTGTTGTTGCTGTGCTAACTTGTGGCCATGTTTACCATGCTGAATGTTTGGAAAATATGACTTCTGAAATTGACAAGTATGACCCTGCTTGTCCAATATGCACTTTGGGGGAGAAGAAGACAAATAAATTATCTGAGAAAGCATTTAAAGCTGAAATGGATTTTAAGGCCAAAATCAACAAAAAATCAAGGAGCCGTGTTGTTGATAGTTATATGGATGTGGATCCTATTGTATTTAATCGTATAAAAAGTAGTGGGCATGAAGGTAAGGCCTCCAGTTCAAGCATGAAAAGCTCCTTGGGCAAGCCTTTCCTGAAGAAACACTTTTCCTTCGGATCAAAGGGAAGTAGATCCCCTTCAGAGAACCATTCTAACTGGAAAAAGGGATTTTTCTGGGCCAAATCCAGCAAGATCTGAATGTCTTATCTGCTGTTAGAAGGTTAGTATCTCTTTGACTGATGTACTAAATTTTTCAGTACAGGTATAAAATTTCCTTTCATCAGCTTAATAAGGTCATAATTGAGACCGCAGTCTGTCTTTGTTTCTGAGTTTTCAAAGTAGTAGATGTATCGTACACCTGTTAATTTTGACCCTAACCTGAAACCAGACTCGATTTCCTTGAATTTGAACTCGACCAAACTTGATTTTGACCATTGAAAAATAATGGTCCAAACCCGTTAATATTTAGTTTCTTGGGTGGGTGTGGTCGTGATTTGTTGCTTTTTATGTTGTACAGATTCTGATTTTCTTCTCTGCAATTGTATCGGAAATATAGGGATTGCAGACAGTGGTTTGCAGGATGTCAATTCATGAAGGATTCTTGATATCATTCTGAAGTATTTTTTTTTTCAACAGGGGTATCCTATGGGACTCGCTCTGTAAAGAAGAAAATGGAAACTATAGGTGAAAAAAATAGGCTCAACAGGAGGAAGAAATATTTTAAACAATGGAATATAATATAATATATAACCTCATGAGTGATGTTATTCTTATTTTGTACAGACTGATCTGTTTCTTGCTTGGACTGCATTCATACACGAATTGATTCAATATGAAATCCTGTATGTGGCTAATTGATTTTGGATCCTTTTGGAAGTCAATTATTTTCGTCATGATTCGTTAACATCAAAATTATTTCTATTTTTCGAATTTTCAAGAATTTCACTTGAATTCTGATTTTTCCAACTCAAACTCTTTTTGGTTACCACTGATTCTTCAATTTTCTAAAATATAAATAATTGAAATTTTGAATTAATCTATTCTTAATTTAATCGGTTAATTTGTTACATTTAAATCATGGGCCGCTTGAGCTACACGTTTTGTACGAAATTATCGGAAGTGGATCATTGCCTGATTCCTCGCCACGTGTAATTCCTAAAGTTTAGTACGATCATCGATGGATTTTCCATCTCTGAGACCCGATACAAAACTCCCTTGCTACTTAAGTATAGTCGAATTCGAACTTATTAAGTAATATAAGTGATAAAATTGAATGTTGTTTATTTTATAGATTTATTACTTAGTAATAAATTAGTGTCGTTCATTTTAGAGATTTTGAATTTGAGCAATTAACGAGCGTGATTTTTTTAGAGATTTTAAATTCAAACAATTATATATGTAGTGTATGTATTCTCTATAAATTTTGAGTTCGAACAATTATATTTATATATGTAAGGCGTTTGTTTGATCATTGTCAAACACATTGGATTAATAAATAAATAAACAAAAACTACAGTCGAACTCTTCTTCCTTTTTAAGACATGGTGTATGAAACCAAGTAGAATTGCTATTACTAGTAGTATGCTTTTTCTTTTGGATTTACAATTACTAGTAATATTTATTTAATTATTATTTTAAAATTTAAAATATAGTTTTTTATATTTGAAACATGGCACGATAGCTGTAACAGTTAAAAATTCAGTTAAGCAAGTTCACTATTAAAAGAAAGGGAGGAGTTTTGGTTAAAACATTAGACCATGTCCAATGCTACCAAATGTCTAAAAATGGACACCAAAACCAACAAATTCTCAACGAAAGAAGAATAACCCAAAAATCATTCTCCACGAAACATTGCCCTCACAATTTATGTATTGCAAATCCAGTTCCTCTGCCAACCCCTTTTCCACCATTGATATCCCAATCATAAAACACAAAAAAAGAACAAACAAACAAATGTAACACCATTTCCTTACTCTCCCCGAACACCTTTTCGTTGGTTTTATTTTGTTTTCTGTGTAACATCCCCCCCCCCCACTTTCATCCAGGAGGGATGGAGATAGGAATGAATCCCATTAAAACATCACATATTGTTCCACCACCACCATCTTTATCCATGTCTATCATCCTTGTAATAACGTTCTTATGTTGTCCCACCTCCGTTGTTTCCCGTGCAACGGGTATTTTCAACCCCACGGACAACATCCTCATCGACTGTGGTGCCAACGATGCTCCGAAGCTCCCCGATGGAAGGATATTCAAGACCGATAAAGACGCGTCTGAGTTACTCAACTCTAAGGATGCCGTTCAAGTGTCTGCCTCCAATGTCGATCTCCCTTCGCCTTTGTTTTTAACGGCAAAAGTGTTCCACGAAGAAGCCACCTACACTTTCGAGCTGAAACGACCCGGTTTCCATTGGCTCCGACTCTATTTCTATTCTATAAAAGATGGCAAATATGATCTTCAGCAGTCCACGTTCTCGGTGTCGGCGAATCACTATGCTATCCTTCATAACTTCAAGATTAGCAATGCTAGTATACCTGTTCTCAAGGAGTATCTTCTTAACTTGAATGACCCTAGATTTGTTCTCAAGTTTTCTCCCATGACGAATTCGTTTGCTTTTGTGAACGGCTTCGAGATCGTCTCGGTGCCGGATAGTTTGATCGCGGACGAGGGGACTTCGCTTTTCCCGGTTAACGCCTTCCAAGGGTTGTCCAAGCATGGTTACCAAGTTGTTTATAGGTTGAACATGGGGGGACCTTTGATTACCCCACAAAATGACACCCTAGGAAGGACTTGGATACCTGATACTGATTATCTTAAGGATAAAGCCGTAGCTGCAAAAGCCTCTACTTCAACAAGTGCAATCAAATACCCCGAGACGCTAACCCCATGGATTGCACCGGCAACGGTTTATTCATCCCTCATTGAGATGGCGGTCGCCGAGGCGAGCACAATAAAGTCAAACTTCAACGTGACATGGGAGATGGAAGTCGATAAAGCGTTTGATTATTTGCTCAGGTTGCATTTCTGTGACATTGTTAGCAAGGCACTCAATAACCTGTATTTCAATGTGTATATCAATGGTAAAATGGCTATCTCCGGGTTGGACTTGTCGAGCATAACCGGTGGGCTGGATGTTCCGTACTACAAAGATATAGTAGTGAATGCTTCGACGTTCACCGACAGACTAACTGTTCAGATCGGTCCACTGAACCAGGATACCGGAACCGTTAATGCGATCCTTAATGGATTGGAGGTGATGAAAATGAGCAACTCGGCCAATAGTTTGGATGGGGAATTCGGTGTCGATGGAACCTCAAGCTCGAGCCACAAGGGTACAGTGGCCGTCGTCGGTTTCGCCATGATGTTTGGTGCCTTTGTGGGTCTTGGTGCAATGGTTATTAGATGGAAGAGGCGACCCCAAGATTGGCAAAAGAGGAATAGTTTTTCTTCATGGCTACTCCCACTCCATGCTGGAGACAGTAGCTTCTTGAGCAAGTCAGCTGCTTCCCAAAAGAGCAACTTCAACTCATCGACACTAGGCCTAGGCCGTTACTTCTCTTTTGCAGAGTTGCAAGAAGCGACCAAAAACTTCGACTCGAGTGCAATAATCGGCGTCGGTGGGTTCGGAAACGTGTATTTAGGTACGATCGACGATGGAACCCAAGTTGCTGTCAAGAGAGGGAACCCCCAGTCCGAGCAAGGTATCACGGAGTTTCAGACAGAAATCCAGATGTTGTCAAAGCTAAGGCATAGACACTTGGTGTCACTGATCGGTTATTGCGACGAGAATAATGAAATGATCTTGGTTTACGAGTACATGTCCCATGGACCTTTCAGGGATCACTTGTACGGGAAAGATTTGCCGTCTTTATCGTGGAAGCAAAGACTCGAGATCTGCATCGGAGCAGCTCGCGGACTTCACTACCTTCATACCGGTACCGCACAAGGCATCATTCACCGCGACGTTAAGACCACCAATATATTGCTCGACGATGCCTTTGTTGCCAAGGTTGCAGATTTCGGGCTGTCAAAAGACACACCAATGGGGCAAACTCATGTTAGCACCGCAGTGAAAGGCAGCTTTGGGTACTTAGACCCAGAGTATTTCAGGAGACAACAATTAACTGAAAAATCCGATGTTTATTCGTTCGGCGTAGTCCTACTCGAAACCTTGTGCGCAAGGCCAGCCATTAACCCACAGTTACCTAGAGAGCAAGTTAACTTAGCCGAGTGGGCAATGCAATGGAAGCGGAAGGGCTTGCTTGAAAAAATCATTGATCCTCATCTTGTTGGTGCCATCAATCCCGAATCGATGAACAAATTCGCCGAGGCCGCCGATAAATGCTTGGCCGAATATGGTGTCGATAGGCCTTCAATGGGGGATGTTTTATGGAACTTGGAACATGCTTTGCAGTTGCAACAATCATCCTCGGAGGGAAAATCAGAGGAGGAAAACAAACAATCAAACACCGCCGACACCGATGCTGACACCACCATGCCGACTCCAGCGGTCACTCCACCATCCGAAACCAACTCTCCAGCTCCTCAACCGGAAACCAATCCATCAACTGGAGATAGTGACAACACTGAATACTCAGGGTCAATGTTAGCGCAGTTTCAATCGCTGGATGGTCGATAAAACACTGCTGCTCGATAATTAGGATCATAAATTCTTGCATTTCAGGAAGGAAAGCATTTCGTTTTTCTCATAAAAAATATATAAATATGAGCAGCACTTTCTCTATGTAACGACAATTTCATCTGAATTTCTAAAATTCAACAACTTATATCAGAGCATACAGTGCGATTGATATATATATATGCATTGTAGTACTGTTAATATTATTTTCTCAGTTGTTTACATTATCATATGCATTTCAATTAGAATCAGTTCCAGCTGCTTTCGGGGCGTAGTTAGAACTTTGTTGCTAGAGGATCAAATTTGGATTATAAATTATTGTAGGAAGTAAAATGTACTTTTATCAATGTATTAGTTTATAAACTTTGCAATGTTTAGAATGATTTAGATCACTATTTTACCGTTTTATGGGTTCAAAGTGTACTAACTTATAATTTTATCATATTTAAAAGAACTTAAAGATTGATTTTGCAATGTAAAAATATATAATAATTAATTAAAATTTAATAAATCGATAATATAAGTGATCAAAACTTAAACTTAAGTTTTTTAAATTTGGTAAGAAAAAATGTACAGATATGAAAAGAAAGTGACTAATCCAGTAATTTACCCTAATTTATTTTTCTTCGATCACATTAAATAAATTAAAAGAAAAAGAAAAATCTCTCATTTTTTAGTTTCATCATAATACAGGGACTAGAATCCACAATTCCTGAAACTTTTCGTTCCGTACGCAGTATCGTACATTCCGTTATGGATTTGCCACTTGTTGATTTATTATTGGTCGACGGTACAATGTCCGGAGCGACAACTACTACCGAATCCTCTCACTTCACCTGTACATATATAGCACACGCTTTCTAGCTTCGAGCGTAAGTTCATTTTCTTCTTTTATTTCTTCGCTTCACTCAGCAAAATGTAAAGAGTAGATTCATTTTAAGCATTTTTTCAAATTTAGGGTTTCAAGGTCGGATTCTAATGTTTATCTTATTTTGCTTACGCTTTTTTGGTCAAATTGTTAGCAGCTACATTTACTTCAGTTGAGTGATCTAATGGAACCGCCATTGCCGGTTACGCCAACAAATTGCGGAAGCTCAAACGGTATTTCATATTAAATCACCAATGTGTAATTAATGATATTTAGTGGTTTGAATCTTAGTTTGTTTGACGTTGATATACGAGGTTTTGCGTTTGAACATGTTCAATTGTAATTGTTTTTTATTTATGATCATGACAGATCTAAAAATTTAAAATTAAAGGTGTAAAATTGTAATACGATTTTCTAAAATAATGAATGAGTATCAAATTTTATTATTATTTTATTTATTTTATCACATTAAACTAAATTTAATTTTTTTAAAACAATGGTATACACTTGCTCCCTAGGCTTAGTGTATTAGCACCTGATTTAGGGATTAGGATTAATGCATTTGCACCTGATTTAGGGAGTAGAGATTAGGGATATTGGTTAGTTTAGATATTGTATAAAAAATGATGTGCTTTCATCCATTTTCTTTTGGACCATTTTGATGCTGCGTTTTGATCGATCGTATGTGATGATGATCTTCTTTTGTTTTATTTGCTTTAGTTTTTTGCCATTTCGCTTTCCGTTAACTTTGAACATTATTGTTCTGTTTATTACTTTGCCTGGAAATTCGGGACGCCTTTTGATTGTATTCCAACTGTATAAACAAATAAAATATAAAAATGAGCATAAGAAGAAAAAAGAGAGAATATTGACCTAATATTTAGTCTGTTTGGCTTTTGTCTTTTGATAATCTTGTTTATATTCTCTGCGATTGTTGACAGAGTCTTGTTCTAATAGTCGTAAAAGGAAGAGATTGTCGAGTGTTTCAAAAGAATATGGTAGCATGTCAGCCAATAGAAATCATTTTGATGGAACTGAAAATAAGCCTAAGGTCTCTACGAATGTTACTGATTTTTCCGACCCATTTGCATTCACTACTATGCTTGAAACCCATAATATTGGAGGCCAATACGGAAGTGTTACAAAAGAAATAGAAGCCCTTTTTTCTAGGAATGCACTTTTGGTGAGCAAAATACTTGCTTTGCATCCTTGTCTTTCCAATGTGTCGGTAGATGTGAGAAAAGGCCAGAGGAAAGAGGCTTCACAGGTGCCAAGACGACAGCTTGTCCATTTGTCAAGGAATTTTTTAATCGACTAGAAGGATGACACGGTTGGAAGTGGTATCGCATCAACAACGTCACCTGTAGTGGTTCTGGATTCAGATGATGAAAACGAAAATACGAGGTCTCTGTGCGCTTTTCAGGAAATTGTATTGAAGAAGCCATCTGAGGTGTTACTCTCCAAGGAGAAAACGGTATGTTCTTTTGCACATATTTATAGTTTTATTTGTGTGTCTGAGGATGCTATGAATATCAAATCTAAACACTGTGTTACTCAGACTCAGGTGTAAGTGTCCAGCATAGGCACGTGTATGTATTTGATACATGTATGGCCAGATTTTTCTAAGTTTTTCTACATATGTGGAGGATCCTTGAAGATCATATCTCCATATTTAAGTGTCCGACACATACTTCATGAAAAATGAAAAGTCAGAACTTTAAATGTATTAAGGTTATAAAATAATTTTGATTTTTTTTTAAGAAAACCGCTTTTTAGTTTACTTTGCATATTTCGTGGTTCAAAGTTAAAGGTTTTTATGTTTTGGTTCTTCCATATAGGGGTTCAGCCGACTCAAATTAACCCAACATGAAAGTGGGGAAATACGGTATTCAAATATTAGATGATCTTTCTGTTTGTAAGTGTGTTTGTGATAAAGAAAGTGAGATTTAAGTTTTTAGAGTCTCTGCATTTTTGACAAAAATGAAGTTGTGTCCCTTCCCCGTTGAAATGGCATGGTTTGAGATGGAGCAAAATGAAATGAAGCTTAGGGACTGAGGTTCTTCATCACTTGTTCTGAATGTTAAAAGAGCCAAACTACACGGGAAAAGTTAACTTTACAAAGTTGTGGGTGCATGTCAAGGTGGACGAGGCTATATCTATCCATTTAAATATAAATTACACATCGAGTAACCTTTTGTAACAAAAAATACACAACGAGAATCCATTGTTGAGTGAAGCCATAGGACCTCAATTGACCCTGAAGAAATTTTTATTTTATTCAGAGGAAATCAGCCACATAATCCACTACTAAGTGATGCAGATATATGTTATTGTCTAATTCAGATTTTTTTCCTCTTAATTTATCTACTAGTTTCATCCCAATCCTATTGGCCATTGGGGACATGTTCAATGTCACTGTTATATTAATGGTTGATTATAGGTCTTTTGAGCTAATACTTATAAAATGCTCACAGGCGAGGGTATTTCGAGTGTTCCATTTTTTTTCTATTTTTATCCAATCTTAATTTGATTGGCGTGATTGATGTGTTTCAGGTCAAGGAGTCTATGAGTAACAGAAGTTACCTGAAAGAAAATGTTAATCTAACCAGTGAAATTGATCTAAAGAAGGATGAAGACAACCAAAATTCGAGGCCTTTGCATCCTTTTCAGGAAGTTGTATTGAAGAAGCCATCTGGGGTATTACACTCCAAGGAGAAATCGGTATGTTCTGCACATATTTATATCTTGAGTTGCATTTCAGGATTGAAATAGGGATATAAAAGTCACTACGAACATTGAATTTACATATCTATTTTTTTGAAAAGTTGAATTTACATGTAGTAGTTTTATATTTTTTTTTAAGAAAGAAAACCTCTCAGTTTAGTTTGAATACTTCTTGGTTCAACCTCTCAGTTTAGTTTGAATACTTCTTGGTTCAAAGTTATAAGCCTTTATGATTTAGTTATTTTTTGTACGATTATTATTTAATTCAACCCACATTCACCCAACAAGAAAGTGGGGAAATACGGCATTCAAATATTTACATTAGCCCTTAGTCAGCTTTAGTTTATTTCCATGCCTTTGCAAGTTTCAATAATTATCTTTTGAGGACATCAACGGAATCTTACGCCTGTAACCATGAATAATGTTAGTCTAACCAGTGAAATTTATCTCAAGAAGGATGAAGACAACAAAAGTCCGAGGCCTCTGCACCCTTCTCAGGAAATTGTATTGAAGAAGTCATCTGGGACATTACCCTCCAAGGGGAAAATGGTATGTTCTTCATGTGCACATATTTATATTTTGAGCTGTGCTTTCGAGGATTGAAATAGGGATATAAAAGTCACTTGTTCTTCATGTTAAAAGAGTATAGTTTGGGATGGGGGCACGGGGAAAATTGAAATGATGCTTGCAGACTAATGTTTCTTCATCATTTATTCTGCATGTTAAAAGGTTCGAACATGATGATATGGGAGAAATTTTTTACTTTAGAAAGTTGTGAATGCACATCAAGGTCTATGAGGCTAAATATTTAAATATATTTGTTTTCGGAGGAAGATAACTACATATCCACTACCAAGAGATGCAAATGCATGTTATTGTCTAATTCTGATTTTCCTCTTAATTTATTTGTTAGTTTCATTTCAATCATATTGAGGACATGTTCAATTGCAGTCATATTTATGATTGGTTATAGGTTTTTTGACTTTACTTATAAAATACTTTTTCTTCAGTGTATTTCAGTGTAATGGTTATGATCTTCAATCTCTCTGTGTATGTTTCATGTTTTTCATTTCATTTTTATCCGAACTTAATTGATGTGTTTCAGGTTGGGGAGTCTAAGAGTAACAGAAGTAACCTGAAAGAAAATGTTAGTTTAACCAGTGAAATTGGTCTCAACAAGGATAAAGGTGTTTATGTTGGTGTTGAAGAAGATGCCGATACTCAAAGTGAGAATGGAGATGATGGATTAGGAGATATTTGGCAGCAGATGTCAATGTCATTAGAGATTTCCAAGGTATTTCTGACTCGTGAAAAGTAATTGGTAGTACCTGTTGTCTTCTTTCTAATATTTATTGATCATTAAACTGCTTTTGAAAAAGTGTTGAAGGTGCCCTTTTTAGAACTAGATTGTATCTAGATGTCCTCAAATGTTATGGTTCTCTGTTTTGGGCCACCACTTGTGCAAACGTCCTGATGTAGTTATTTTGAACTT